CTCTGACCCCTACAATCAATAAAGCCTACCATAAAGGCAACTATTCTGCGTATTTTGAGCTAAACCCTAAACCCTAAACCCTAAACCCTAAACCCTAACCCCTAACCCCTAAACCCTAAACCCTAAACCCTAAACCCTAAACCCTAAACCCTAAACCCTAAACCCTAAACCCTAAACCCTAAACCCTCAACCCTCAACCCTCAACCCTCAACCCTCAACCCTCAACCCTCAACCCTCAACCCTCAACCCTCAACCCTAAACCCTAAACCCTAAACCCTAAACCCCAAGCCAAGGTTCCCTACCCCCAAGCTTGCCTTAATAAAGCCCACTTTTCTCCCTGCAGGCCAAGCAGATTGCGGCGGCCAAGGCCTGCAGCTGCTGCGACGTTTAGGGTTTAGGGTTTAGGGTTTAGGGTTTAGGGTTTAGGGTTTAGGGTTTAGGGTTTAGGGTTTAGGGAAGTTTAGGGTTTAGGGTTTAGGGTTCAGGGTTTAGGGTTTCGGGCTTCGGGTTTAGGGCAGTTTAGGGTTTAGGGTTTGGGGTCTATCCTGCCAATAATTTGCATGGAAGCCGCCACGAAAAGTAGTGTTCAGGGAGGTCAGGGGGTTTGGGGGGGGTTCAATCTTCGGGTTTCTTTGGGGTGGTACAGGGTTTTCTCCCAAACGTGGTTCTCCCTGTGCTCAACCTTGGTCTGGAGATTCCCGGCATCCCAGCGCACATGGTAGCTTTCTCAATCGGAGAGTGATTCCCACATCATCGACCCCAACAGCAAAAATGTGGTAACTGTCACACTGTCTCACGCTAAACCCTACTGTATAACCCTAAACCCCTAAACCCCAAAACCCCAAAACCCCTAAACCCCTAAACCCCTAAACCCCTAAACCTCTAAACCCCTAAACCCCTAAACCCCTAAACCCCTAAACCCCTAAACCCCTAAACCCCTAAACCCTAAGCTCAAATCCTGCCTCAAAGCCACACGCCGGTCAACGACCGATCTCGCTGTCCTGCCGAGGCCAAAGCAAAAGCCGCAGCAGGAGCAGTCTCTCGAAACCTGATTCAGGGTTTAGGGTTTAGGGTTTAGGGATATTTCTCTCGCGTGCGCAGAGCCTCATGGGTGGAGCCTTTGACCGTCCAGGCCTTGCTGAAAAGTGTTAGCAGAAAAGGAGATGGGGATGCGGATGGGGGTTTCCGAAATTAGGGAAGGGAATCCTACTATTTTGGGGGTCTATATTGGGGATCCCATTATTTTCGTAAACCCCCAGATTGCCTTCGAAGAGTATGAGGGTTTCGGGGATTAGGATCTTCGGGTTGAAGGTGACGTGTTTTTGTGGACCGGGTCCTTCTATGGGAAGAGGCCCACAGAAACTCCTGAACCCCAACCACAAACCCCACCCCCTCAACCCTAAACCCTAAGCCGCACAGAGTATTCGCTTAAACCCTTAAACTCCTAAACCCCTGAACCCTAATTATGTAAATCCCTAAACCCTACAAACCCGTACCCGAAGTACCCTAACTACCCTAAGTACCCTAAGTGCCCTAAGTACCCTAAAAGCCCTAAAGACCCTAAAAACCCTAAAAACCCTAGAAACCCTAGAAACCCTAGAAACCCTAGAAACCCTAGAAACCCTAGAAACCCTAAACCCTAAACCCTGAACCCTACCAAATCCTGATTCCCCCAACTCCAGGAGCCGCCAAAGCAGCCGCGGCCAAGCCCGCGGCTTCGCCGCAAGGCGAGGCACCTGGTTGTTGCTTTTGAAATGCCGTTCAGGGTTTAGGGTCTAGGGTTTAGGGTTTAGGGTTTGGGGTTTGGGGTTTAGGGTTTAGGGTTTAGGGTTTTGTGTTTAGGGTTTCGGGTTTGGGGTTTAGGGTTTAGGGTTTAGGGTTTAGGGTTTTGTGTTTAGGGTTTCGGGTTTGGGGTTTGGGGTTTATTCTTTGTTCTTCTTCTTGTTATTCTTTGTGGCAGGTGATTGGTTGTGAGGTATGAGGTACTCGCTATGAGAGTGATTAGTATCGTGATCACTGATCATTGTTGTGAAGCTCTCCTACGTCCTGTGTGCACCAAGGTGCTTCTCCCAAGCCGTCGACGCCTGCCAGGTCATCTTTGTGGGTGCAGCTGAAGGGCTTTTAGGGTTTAAGATTTGGGTTTAGGGTTTAGGGTTTCGGGTTTAGGGTTTAGGGTTTAAGGTTTAGGGTTTATGGTCTACCCTGGCCCGAGCCCATAACCTAAGTGGATATCTCCCAAAAGTCGGGGTCTCCTGATGTACCCCCCCCCCCCCCCCCCGCAACAAAAAACAACAAGAATAGTAGGTTCCTTTTTACAGGAACCCCTCAACCCTAACCCTAAACCCTAAACCACCCTGTGGGCACTAAAGTCCAGCGTCCTGCAGTCTCTCCGCCACCGGCTTCGACGTTGGTGAAGAGCACTCGACGAGGGCGCCACGTGGATGAGGCGGAATGCAGTGCGATTCCTTGAAGGCCGATTTCCGGTAACATTATATATATATATATATATATATATATTTGTTTATTTATTTATTAATATTTATACTTTATTTGTATTTACATTTATATATATATACTTAATATATATAGTACATGGTGTGATTCTTCTTGTTTTGATATTACTATTGCAATAGTGTTATGTTTATATGTGTCATATGAAGCGACAGCTCATGAGTCATGGCAGGTTAACATCCCTGCTCTGACTTCCCCGGACGGTGAGCCATAGCGCACGCGCGGGCGCTTCCCAAAAGAGTAGGAGGGGTTTAGGGTTTAGGGTTTAGGGTTTAGGGTTTAGGGTTTAGGGTTTAGGGTTTAGGGCTTATGGGATCGCAAGGAGGTGAGATACATGGCAGTCAATAGCCCATATGGGGGGTTTACGAGGATAGGGGTCCCTTTTGGGGGTTCCTGTAATAAGGATGATACTATTTTGGAGCTATAGTAAGGGTACCCTAAATTGGGGAAGTAGCCAATTTCACACGTACATCAGAATATATGGATATCAGTATCCTAGTAGACTTCTTATCGGTGAGATGTTCACTGCTCCATACGATGAGACGAAGCAATCTCCTTCATGCCAGCTGTTGTCTTTCAGAGAAGTAGGCCACTACCGACCCAGGATTTGCACACCCGAGGCAGAGTTCGAAGCGTGCCCAAGTCCCGCTTGTTCTCCGTTTGGTAGGCTCCCTGTATTAGGGTCCCTCAACCTCAAACCATGTTGTAGAGAACTGGCCATTTGCACTCCACGCAATTTTGGGAAAAATGCCAATGCAGTAGAGATGTAGTCTTGCACATTCTCTTTTCAAGAAGTTTCAGTTTCACCTTATCGGAAACGTGTGGCCGCACTGTGCTGACATGCCATCTGCAAGAAACCTGCTCTGAACCATTTTGGAGGCAGACTAGCTACGCCTCTTATTCTGAGGCCTTTCATCGACAAAGTTTTTTCTCAGTGCGCCCAGCCAGAAATTCGTCAATACGTTTGTCGTGCATCGCATCTCAAGGCAGACCCCACAAAGTGGAGAGGCTGTCGTCCAATTCACGCACCGAGCAGTCGCAGTGTTTCAGAGTATTGCGGGACGACCGCAACGAGCTTATGCTTGCTTTGACCTCAAGCCTTGCTTCGTGCTTCTCTATTCAATGTTCACAACCGTCACGACCTTTAGCAATGGGCTCTTGCAGATGACGTGGCGCGTCGATAGAGACTAAGCAGAGGTAAATAGCCCATGAGCACCATGCGAGTCCTGGTCCTGCGCCGGAGTCATGTGTGCCCCATGTACCACGAGCACGTGTGCTGCAAGTGCGCTTGACAAGAACTCGCGCACGAGAGAGGCATTTATGTCCGCGCCCGCCAAACGGGTCGACGTGCGGAGTGGCGTTGGCTATTTCTGCGGGTTGTTGGAAGCGCGGATCTCACCTTGCTCAACCGTCCGACACCGCCAAAGTTTATAATGTTGCAAACATACATATATATATATATATATACATATGTACACGTGTCCATGCATGTATGTATGCATGTATGTATGTATGTATGTATGTATGCATGTAGATGTATGTGGAGTAGATATATGTATATATGTGTATACGTGTATATGTATATATGTGTATATGTGTATATGTTTATAATATACTACCCTTGTCAGCTCTTAACGCAAAGCACCCCAAACGGGCCGTCATTTGTTCATACAGCAATTTTGTTCCGGTGCGAGCCACGCTTTTGCAGCAACCCTCTTTCAATCTGTGGTGGCGAAGATCTGGGTTCGCATGCAAACCCATGCGAGTGAACCATCCTCCCAGGAAGCTTGCGAACAGATGGCTTCAGAGTGGTTTCTGCCACGCCTGGCAATTGTTGAGGGAGCAGCAGCCGTCTCAAACTAGCAATCTCTTGGCACTTGATCCGAAGGGACGAATCGTTGCAAAGGATGTGAGATGAGATATGATTCTGGGACAGGCCGACAGACACCCTCGCGGCCTCGCGGCTGTTGTGCCCCCCTGGAGCTCAAGACCTCGTTGGCAAGCATCGCAGTGAGCAGAGCTTTGCCCAAACACTTCCAGCGCATGCACGAGGTCTCAGTCTTTCTACCCCGTCCGAGCCGATGCTCTGGAACTGGAGTCTTAAGGTCTCTTTTCCATATGGGCCGGGGTGCATATGGCGACGTCCCCACGCGTCGCAACCGCGGTGTCGAAAGATCTCACAGCCAGAAGACCTTCCAGTCGACGCTCCGTAGTACGCGCTCCACTGGACTGCACCCAAACCCTTATACTCAGAATAGCCCAAAAACCTTTCATAATAAGGCCTTTGGGCCAAAATACCTGAAAATAAGACTCCTTGGAGCCTTACGGAAAGTATTCAGAAGAATGGTTGGTAATCCTGACAAAAAGGGTTTAGGGTTTAGGGCGTAGGCAGGACATGCGGGTGAGTTTGGAGCCTCCTCCCTCAGAGGCCCTTGGTTCTGCCTCCTGCAGTGTTTAAGTATCAGTGGGCTCTTTCCCTTGCAGCCGACATGGCGCGACCAGGTCGTACAAGCCGCTGTCCCGGCTTCATGACAGGTGTCCCTCAAGCCCAAAACCCTATACTCCCTTACCCTAAACCCTAAACCCTAGAAACACGGAACCCTATACTCCCGCAACCCTAAACCCCATAATTCCTAAGCCCTAAGCCTTAAACCCTAAATAGAGGCCACCGGAAGCGTGAGCTTGGGTCTCGGATCAATGATAGCCCGACTCCTCCTCTACTTCTGCATCGAAGAGACCCCTCTACAGCCCAAGCACGATTTACAGGCTTCAGCTCCCAGCAGTAATTCCTGAAAAGCCCTAGAAAGACCGATTCAATCCATTGAAAGTATGCGCAGCAACGCCCCAAATCCCCAACCCCTAAACACCCCCAAACCTCCCAAAGCCCGAAAGCCATACATAGCCCACAGCTCAGGTGCAGTGCTTGGTCTGGGGGCAGCTGCCAGTGCCTCAGCCGCGTCCCTTTTACCTCGGGACATCGGCTCGCTCAACTTCCTCTGCTGCCGTTGTGATGCTGCCGCATCGCAGACAGCTGGTTAAACCACCCGGCCATGGCCGCATGATATGCCAAAGTTCAGGAACCCACAAAATGAAACCCCGGAACACCCCCCCCATGTAAGCAACATTTCATGCTGACAATTATGGATATCATTCATCGTCACAGCTTTTGTAATTGCCACTGCTGAGCTATGATTCTTAGTAGTATTGCTACTACTCGCACGTCGATCTTGCTTCTCAAAAAAACCTACTAGTTGTCATGTGTGTACCAAACCCTAAACCTAAACCCTAAACCCGAAACCCGAAACCCTAAACCCTAAACCCTAAACCCTGCCTCAAGGCGGCACTTGCCCCGGGCTTCCTCCTGCCTGCGGAGCCAGCGCCCCGCCAAGCCGCGCCCACTGCGGCCGAGGTCCGGGCCTTCCCTTCAAGGCTCATGGAGTTTAAGGCATTTATGATTGAGTATATATACATATATATAATGTGTTTTTGGTGTATATATATATATATATTATGTATGTATGTATGTATGTATGTATGTATGTATGTATGTATGTATGTATGTATGTATGTATGTATGTATGTATGTATGTATGTATGTATGTATGTATGTATGTATGTATGTATGTATGTATGTATGTATAATGTGTATACATATATATATATATATGCATAGACATGCAGTATGTTTGTTTGATTTTGTTTTTGGCGGTTATAGGCCTTGTTAGGGCTGTGGTTTACAGGGTCTTTGGATTGAGGTTTATGGCTTTAAAAGGGCTTCGGCCGGGTACGTACTTACGAGTCAGGTTATGCACAGCTCGGATGCCCCGTACCCTTGGTGGGGTGTTTTAAACCTGAGCCAATTTCTGAAGTCCTGAGGATCATGCTGTAGTGTCGCTGTAAGGTACCCTTTGCAAGCAACGTACCTCAACAGTTGGGTAGCAAACCCTCGATTTTCAACGCACGTTCTGCTATGGGTCCGAGATAGGATTCAGGGTCTGGGGTTCAGAGCGCTCAGCCCTGAACCCTAAACCCTCAACCCAGGTATCGACCAGGGGATAGGTTTGGCAGGATTTTAGTATAATTTGGGGTGTTTATGCTAACAGTCCGTAATAGGGATTATAGTACTTCGCCCTTTTTCATCCCTACTAAGGACTGCCCTAAACCCGAATTAGACCCTAAACCCTCAAGCCCCCTGCAACTTGAAATTATTAAGAAAATCCAAAACACAAAACTCCTTGAAATTCCTCGAAACTACTTGAAACTCCTCGAAACTTCCCCGGACCTGAACCCTGAATAGTTTCAATAAACCCTATAAACCCTAAACCCTAAACCCTTAGTATATTGGGGAACATCCCAAGTTCTAGTATACTGAGGCCTCTGCGCCCCGGAGTGCTGCCGCGGCCCCCCGTGCTGGCGCAACACCGGCTGCAGGGGTCCCTGGGTTTTAGGGTTTGGGGTTTAGGGTTTGGGGTTTAGGGTTTAGGGTTTGGGGTTTGGGGTTTGGGGTTTAGGGTTTAGGGTTAGGGTTTAGGGTTTAGGGTTAGGGTTTAGGGTTTAGGGTTTAGGGTAGATTTCTGTCACTCTGTCTGTAGGGGCCGGTAGTTGAGCTCGGATGGGTTGGGGTGGTTGCTTCTGCCGTTTGAATTCAGGGCTAAAGGAGGTTTTAAGGGTTTAAGGCCTCGAGGCCGGGGCTTGGGAATTTCAGGCGTCTTGAGTTTGGAGTCCGCTGAGCATTGAGTGTTTGGGACAGGGAGGGGGGGGGGGAGCAGCCGAATTGGGTGCTTCAGTACCTCTGCTTGCTAAGATCCTTTCGCCATCTCAGTCCTGCGGGTCGGGTGTTGCTTGAGTTGGAGGAAAACCCTTTGCAATTTCCTCGGAAGACTCTGCAACAGAGAAGCAAGTGTGTAAAAATGTGTGTATAATTAGGGTGCGATGCTGGGATAGGCAGTGACGAGCATTCCCTCCCAGACAAGTGCATCCAGCGCTCCGCAGATGAGGACTCTGAAAAGTGCAAAGGCCCAGGTTTAGGGTTTAGGGTTTAGGGTTTAGGGTTTAGGGTTTAGGGTTTAGGGTTTAGGGTTTAGGGTTTAGGGTTTAGGGTTTAGGGTTTAGGGTTATCATCAAAAGCAGCCTTTGAATGTAGACGCGGCCTTGGAGCCTGCATTGCTGACCGGACAACAGCCCAGGTTACTGTTGGCTTGGGTGTTGCCGCCGTGGCTGCCGCAAGGCTGCGTCGGTTTCTTATCTTCAAGCCTCAAGGGCAGACGCCCGAATAGGTACCCCATACAATAAGGCAGAACTGCTCTCCTCAGCTGAGCCACTTGTTGGTTTAGGGTTTAGGGTTTAGGGTTTAGGGTTTAGGGTTTAGGGTTTAGGGTTTAGGGTTTAGGGTTGCTCTACTTTGTTTGTGCACTTGCAAGCCACGATCGGTCCTTGACTCCTTGACCTGGCAGGTGCCGCAAGGCAAAGCACGTGCGATGCAGCCGCGTCGTCCGCCAAGCCGAGGAACGCTGGGCAGTCTTCAGTCCTGGGTTCTCAGATTGGTCATCATGTGATATTGGTCTCAGTGAGTTGAAGTCTTGCCATACCACGAGATTCCTGCTTCTCTCGCCCCCATGCAGACATGAACCAAACCCCCCCTCACTCAGCGCGCTCTGCGCCCTCGTGATCGGGCAGATGGCCATGGCTGGGCCGGGGCCCTTGAGACGGAAGTGCATCACTTCTGCATGTCAGCCTCTCTCAAGGATCTGGAATTGTGAATCTAGATTCTAGATCATGACTATACTCTACATAAAATTAACTAATCATCATTTCTTGATCATGGGTATACTCTAATTTTAACGCTACGCGACCCGCCTCGGCCCGGCCCAGCGCATCCGCGTGAGCATGGTGATTCCGCAGCGCCCAAGTCGCTGGACCCCAAGCAATAAGGGTTGGGTTGAGGGTTGAGGGTTGAGGGTTGAGGGTTCCGGGTTTATGGTTTGGGGTTTGGGGTTGAGGGTTAGTTTAGGGCTCAAGGTTCACGCTTTGGGGTTGAGGGTTTTTTTGGGTTTAGGGTTCGGCTTGGAGTGATCGTAGGGTTGAGCCAGGCCCCTTAAGGTTTAAGGCGACTCTTCGGCAGGGTGGGGGGGAGGGGGGAGGGGGGTGGGGGGAGGGGGTGGGGGAGGGGGGGGTGATGAGGGGGTGGGGTGGGGTGGACTGCCTCTGGTCCTGGCGAACCGTCCGCTTGCGGACCCCGGTTTCCCAGGGGTGGTACCCATTTGAGGCCAAAAAAAGGGGTCCGAAAAAGGGCTTTTGGGTGTGGGGGAGGATTTGGAGGGGGGTGCCTGTTCTGACAACCTATACACCTCCGGCCCGAGGCCTCGGCGGATTCTACAAACTAGTCCACATTCCTTAAATTGCTTTATGACTCTGGTGATGTGGTATAGTCTCTTGAGGCACTGGCTAAAACCAAGGTTAAGGAGGACCCGGACTTCGATGCGATGAACGGTGCTGTCACAGCATCCTCCTCAGTGCTCGAGAGCTCCTGGGAGATGAGTCAGTTCAGATGCAAAAAAAACTGTAATAGTAGATTACATACTTTAGAATAGAATCAGTAATAGTAAATCATACTTTAAGATAGTATCAGTAATAGTCAGTTATACTTTGAAATAGAATTAGAAATTAACAAACATCAGCAATCACACAATCGTACTTCTTACGCCTTACACTTGTTACGCGATAAGGCGACGCACGCCGTCGAGCTGAAGAAGAGGCCGGTCTCGTGCCCCGGCGTTTCCGGATGTGGCTCCCAGAAATTCACGGAACGGATTGGCCTCTCATAGTCTGGCCTGTACACCACATGCTTTTTTATTTTTTTTTTGGGCGGGGGGGGGGGGGGGATGCAGGGACTGATTTATTGACTCTAACGCCTCCCCGGCTCATGGGTTTGAGTATGGCACCAGGGCCCCTAAGCCCCAAACCCTAAACCCGAAACCCTAAACCCTAAACCCTAAACCCTAAACCGTAATGGGTTTGAGGATGGCACCAGGGTGTCTTTGACACCCCTTTTCCTACCTGGCCTCAGTCACTTCTTCGGAGGGCATGGAGACTTGCTTGCTTATCTTGGACCCCCCCACATAAGTCATCAGAAATTGCCAATAGCTTAGCCCAACCACCAACCCTTGTAAAGTCTTAAGTGTAGAGTGACTACAGACCCTGCCACTGCCCACGCGAAGCGTTGCAACACTGTAAGCGCTCATTGCTCCTTGCTTCGCGGGAGGCCCAGCGGCATCAAGAGATATACCCACGGCCTTGATGGCAAGGGAGCCGGGTTCCCTGGGAGTGAGCGGCAATGGGCTTTGACCTGGATCCCCCCCAAGTCCTACCCAAAAAGCATCTACGAGCAAAGCACCATGCGCTGGTTACCCTGAATAGTTTCGGGGCTATATAGGCCATGACTGTGATAGTGTACAGGGCCAGGGGCTCCGTACTCAGCGGGGGTGAACGACTTGTAAATGACCGTCGAAGAGATCCTTGGACATGAAGGTCTTGTCAAACTCCAGAGTGCTTGGGGTGCATTACATTAGATAGCAACAAAAGGAGGTTCACGACTTTAACCCCTAGGAAACTACCCTGCAAGGCGATGGTCATGGACATGCATGAGAAGGCACGGCTGCTTCCGCGAGAGGGTCTTGTGGGAGTGGCAGCCTTTCTGGCTGTAAGCTTGCTAAGCCGACCACAAGCACTAAACCCTGAATGTAGCAAGCAACGCACTACTCGCAGTCCCTGCGGCTCAGCCCGTTTGCAAGGCTCGGTATCCGGGTGACCCGCAGGGTCAGGCGGCTGTGGCCGGAGTGAAGAAAGGCCGTGGGCGGTATAGAGTCAAGCTGGCTATCCTAAACCCTATATAAACCCTAAACTCATGTATCTGCCGAGAACTAGTCTAGAAGTCCGATGCAACCCACGTCCAAATAAAGCGCTGCCCTCTTCAACCACGCGAGGTCCTAGAACACCATGTTGAGACCCTCCAAAGCATGCAGGTTTCGTTGTCAAGGCAGTGAACGGCCAGGACGTGCGCAGCCCGCTTCTCAGTTACCTGGACCCTCACACAGTACCCATACAGTTCTGACCTACCCAATTCTTTACACTCTCTATATATATATATGTGTATATATGTATATTTATATGTATTAATATAATATATACGGAACCCCCCACACACACCCATAACAGTACCTGGAGGCCCTTCTTATCATGAGCACGTCGGCGATGGGGAGGTTTTGACCCAAGCTCCAGCCTAGCCCTGCAGCTTGAAGGCTGGGACTTCGAGGACATTATGGACCTATTGGAGGAGACCAGAAGCCCTAAAGGGTTTTAGGGTTTGGGGTTAAGGTTTTAGGAGGGTTGAAATAGTAGATACAGGGTGGCGGTCAAGGGCTTTCTTTCGGATATCAGCGTAAACTCTCAACCTGTCCACAAGACTGGCCTGCATGCACCTTTTGTTTAGACGTTGCTGGCTGCAATTTATGGTTGCTCTGGCGTCCAGCGACGTTTGGGCTGAAGAAGGAGGGCATCGAGCCGTGTGTTAGGCCGTTGATTCATCATAGACTCGGTGTAAGTTTTAGGGTTTCGGGTGAGCGGAAGAAAAGCATATGACAAAGGCTGTCGTCAGGAGTTGCAGTTGCGGAGGAATTCTGCACGGGAATCAAGAGGGAAGCACACCTCTAAGTCCTGAAACAAAAGTAGATGCCAACATATACAGGGAATCTGCCCCAACTATTGGCCACACCCTGTGCGGCGTTCCTCTTGGCAAACCCCAGACCCGAAACCCTGAAATTTTGTGAGCCCCCAAAATTTGACGCCGCCGAAGCCCCAATGCCCTGCATTCAGTATAGTAAAACAACGGTATCCTTTAGTATTACATAGTATTATATAGTATTATACAGTATTATATAGTAATATATAGCATTATACAGTATTATACAGTATTATACAGTTTTATACAGTATTATCTAGTATTATATAGTGTTATATAGTATTATATAGTATTATATAGTATTATATAGTATTATATAGTATTATCTAGTATTATATAGTATTATATAGTATTATATAGTATTATATAGTATTATATAGTATTATATACCCTTCAGGACTTCATCCCGGATCCCGACGTCCAGTCCACCGCAGCCTTCAAGAGCGGGGACCGCCTCGGGGGCTAGGCAGACTCCGAAACCTGAAGCGCACCAGGGTTTAGAGCGCACCAGGGTTTAGGGTTTAGGGTTTAGGGTTTAGGGTTTAGGGTTTAGGGTTTAAGCATTGCAACCCAGATCCCCAAAATCGGGTTAGGGGGTTTTTCGGGCCCAGGTTATCCCTATAAGGCACTATCGGCCCGACTGTCCTCCAAAGCTTTCCTTCGCGACTCTGATCCAACTGGCAGGAACAGAGAGTTCGCAAGCACCAGGCGGCGCGGCCCTTGGTGTTTCTCACTGCGGTGTGACGACATACGGTTCATTTCAGGGCTGAGGGAGTATAGCCTTCTAGGACTCAACTGCAGAAGTCACGGTTGCAATCCGATCGCGTGTGTAGAACGGTATCGTGGACCTCTTCTCGCTGCACCCGCATCCACTTGCAGCAGTCCTCCATCGCCGTAGATACAGCCCCTGAACCTTTTAAACCCTATAAACCCCATAAACCCTATAAACCCTATATGTAAACCCTATAAACCTCATAAACCCCCGTAAACCCTAAACCCTGTAAACCCTACGACCCTGCACACGGCGCACAAAGGTTGACTTCCCTGTCAACATCGAGTACGTGGAGATGTCTCCCATGGAGAAGGCCTCGGAACCCAGAGGTTCAGGGGTTGAGGGCTCACACAATCTTATGACACTACTCCACAATATTGTAGGTTGTTATTTGGAATTATACTATGTTTTGCTTATATTAGTATCTTATTTTATTTGTATATCAATATTGTGTAATCCTCATATTTCAATTTTTATATAACTATTTACTTCGTTACATATTTTTCAGAGGGTTGCAAGCCAAGTGGCCCTAAACCCTCAGCATCCTAACGCCTATGGCTGCGTAGCATTCTATGCAAAGTATGCGCAAAGGAATCCCTAATCTCTGTAAACCCTTTAGGGTTTAGGGTTTAGGTTTCAGGGCAAGCCCAAAACAAACCTTGTAGAGCCCCTGCCTTGAATCCCGTAAGCCCTCTGTAGGCCCTATATCAACTCTACAAGCGAAGCCAACTGAGCCCTGTGAGCCTCATACAAACGCCACAAGCCCTGTGAGGCCCACCTTTAGCCCGAGACCCTAAACCCGAAACCCTATATCCTAAACCCGAAGCCCTAACCCTAACCCCGAAACCCTGAACCCCAAAAGTTCTTCAAAGCCCTTGCCAGAGCGCAGCCGCAGCACCAGCCGTGCCTGCTGGAGCCTGGACGCCTCGTCTCAGCGAATGGTCCAATGAGGACAGGTGGAATAGACGTATTAGGAGTGATAGGGTACAGGGCTATAGGGTTTAGGGTTTATAGGGTTTGGGTTTAGGGTTTATAGGGTATGGGGCTTTGGGTTCAGGGCTGTAGGGTTGTTAGAGTCTGAGGGTTTCACGTCTAGAGCGCTTGCATTGTTGCGAACCAGCCGTTAGAGTGTACACGGCTTTGCACGGTTTAATGTCTTACCAGGGGCCTTGTCAATGGTAGTTCATTGCTTGGTACCTAATAAGTTTACCGCTACAATTAGAAGAAGAAAAGTTGGTACCAAAAAAGGAATTGCCATTGAAGGTCAGCCTGAAGCCAAAGCTATGTGCTGCCAGATATTTGGCTCTCAGCAGGAAGTGCGTGTTGGAGACAGGCGACTTCACCCTAAACCTAATTAGATCCTGGCTACAGCTCGTTCCCAACCGTGCCATGAGTCGCGAAGTCAACACTCAAGCTTCGACGCATCCAAGTCTGCACATCTTGGTCTTGCTGCCGCTCCAAACAGCTCAACCTGTAGCAGCCCAAAGCCCTATATACCCTGAATCCGGAACCCTAAACTATCTAACCCTAAACCTTATTTCAGGCAATGGCCTCTTTATGAAGGGGTAACTGTCAAAATGGCCCGTAACAGAAACAGATTTGGGAAGAGATTCCGTAAATATTTTTAGGGTTCAGGAAATTGGGACCCCCGCAGGCCCGTGACAGAAACAGATTTGGGAAGAGATTCCGTAAATATTATCAGGGTTCAGGGTTTAGGAACCCGGCCAAAGCTGAAAGAGGCCACCTGCCACAACCACCCCCCCAAGCGCATGTTTGAGTAGGGGCCAAAGCTGAAAGAGGCCACCTGCCACAAGTGGTCTTTCGCCCAAAGTCCTGTACCTAACGAGGGCACCCCCCCTGAATGTCCAAAGCACATGTTTGAGTAGGGGGGGCCAAATCTGAAAGAGGCCACCTGCCACAAGTGGGCTTTCGCCCACAGTCCTGTACCTAAAGAGGCCACCCCCCCTGAATGTCCAAAGCACATGTTTGAGTAGGGGGGGCCAAAGCTGAAAGAGGCCACCTGCCACAAGTGGGCTTTCGCCCACAGTCCTGTAACTAAAGAGGCCACCCCCCCTGGCCTCTTTATGAAGGGGTGACTGTCAAAATGGCCCGTAACAGTAACAGATTTGGGAAGGGATTCCGTAAATATGTTGTATTTGAGTGTGGACATTGAAGAGGGCTGGCCTCTTTAGTTACAGGGCTTTGGGCAAAACCCAGCTGTGGCGGGTGGCCTCTTTCAGTTTTGGCCCCTTTTGTTCAAATACATGTTTTGGACATTCAAGGGGGGTGGCCTGTTTAGCTACATGACTTTGGGCGAAAGCCCAGTTGTGGCGGGTGGCCTCTTTCAGCTTTGGCCCCTTTTGCTCAAATATGTGTTTTGGACATTGAGGCCGGGCAACACATTTCCTAAAGTAGTTAGTGTCGTTTTGGTGACCAGAGCCGGGCGACACATTTCCTATAGTAGTTAGTTGTTTTAGTGGCCAAAACCGGGCGACACATTTCCTAAACTAGTTAGTCGTTTCTGTGGCCAAAGCCGGGCGACACATTTCCTAAAGTAGTTAGTCGTTTTAGTGGCCAAAACCGGGCGACACAATTCCTAAAGTAGTTAATCGTTTTCGTGGCCAAAGCCGGGCGACACATTTCCTAAAGTAGTTAGTGTCGTGTTAGTGACCAAAGCCGGGCGACACTTTTTTTCCTAAATTAGTTAGTCGTTTTTGAGACCAAAACCGGGCGACACATTTCCTAAACTAGTTCGTCGTTTTAGTGACCAAAACCGGGCGACACATGTCCTAAAGTAGTTAGTCGTTTTGGTGACCAAAACCGGGCGTCACATGTCCTAAAGTAGTTAGTCGCTTTAGTGACCAAAGCCGGGCGACACATTTCCTAAAGTAGTTAGTCGTTTTAGTGACCAAAGCCGGGCGAAAATTTTCTTAAACTAATTACTTAGTCGTTTTAATGACGATGTTTCACCTCTTGTCTATTGTTGCTAAGCGGAAAAATGCTTTTACAAAAAAACAAGAAAGCTGAAAACAACTACAAAACCCTAGACAAGGTAGTCTTTCAACTTTTTGGCCACCCCTATATATGGTTGTGCGCTGTGCGTTCCGCCCCCCCCCCCCAGGTAAGGTATCCCACCCTCCCATGGTCTACAGTCTACCCTAAACCAAGCCTCAACCCTAAACCCTAAACCCTTGTATAACCCTAAACCCTAAACCCTAAACCCTAAACCCTAAACCCTAAACCCTAAACCCTACACCCTACACCCTAAACCCTAAACCCCTAAACCCCTAAACCCTAAGCCCTAAACCGTAAACCCTAAACCCTAAACCCTAACCCCTAAACCCTAGGCGGGGGGGGGTCCCGTGGTGGTGGTGGTGGTCCCGTGGTGGTGGTGGTCCTGTGGTGGTGGTCCGTGGTGGTGGTCCGTGGTGGTGGTCTGTGGTGGCAGTGGTGGTGGGGAGGGGGGGGGGGGCGGGGGGCCGCCGGGGCGCAACCATACATAGGCCGTGCAAGAAACTCAAGGACACGGTTGAGGGTTTGGGGGTTTAGGGTTTTGGGGTTTCACAGGGTTCGGGCCAAAGCCCGACACAAAACACCCTAACCCCCAAAACCTTAAGGGTTTCGGATTTAGGTTTAGTTTAGGGTTTAGGCTGGGTGTTTTAGGGTTTGGCTTTAGGGTTTTGAAGATTAGGGTTGTTTAGAAGTTTAGCTGGTTTGGGGCTGTTTAGGGTTTAGAAGCTTTGGTTTGGGCCTTGAGGGCTATATTGTTTATTCTGGGAGTGGACTCGGGGGGACTTACTGGAAGGTATTTTATTATTAGGTTGTATTCATTTCAGAGGCCATGAAAGAGGAGGCCCTGGAACAGTTCTAGTCTGTTCCGGGTACCGTCAAAAAGTGTGCAAAACAACATGCCCTGGAACAGTTCTAGTCTGTTCCGGAGCAGAAAACCAGGCCCCGGAACAGTTCCAGAACAGTTCCGGAACAGTTCCGCTTTGTTTCGGGATTTTGCCCCAAAAACGTACGCCCTGGAACTGTTCTAGTTTGTTCTGGAGCATATGAAAACAAGGTTGTTTTTTCTTATTATCTTCTGTTGTTTTTTATATATTTTTCATATTTGTTATGCTGTTATTTTGTGATATATATATATGTACATATTTCATTGTTATATTGCTATATTGTTATCTTGTTGTATTGGTATCTTGTTATCTTGTTATTTTGTTATATTGCTATATTGTTATATTGCTGTGTTGTGTTTTTACTGTCATAGTATTCTATTCTTCATAAATCATAAAATGACATTATTCACAACGTGGACATTTTCCTCAGGGGACAAAGAGTCTCTAAAGGAGTTCCAAGGTCTATAAGTCTATAGCTTATATAGGCTATAGGCCTATCCTGCCTCTCCATTCGGGATGACGGAAGCCCTCTCCGGCGCGCTTTTGGCTCACGAAAGTGCGCTGGGGAGGGTTTTCGTGGCTCAGGGACAGAGGGGATCCAAAAGGAGTTCTATAGTCTAAGTGTCTATAGCCTATATTGGCTACAGGCTATAGGTCCATACTGCCTCTCCTTTCGGGATGACGAAAACCCTCTCCGGCGCACTTTTGGCTCACGAAAGTGCGCCGGAGAGGGTTTTTGTGGCTCAGGGGACAGAGGGGATCCAAGTTCTATAGTCTATGGCTATAGGTCCATTTTGCCTCTCCTTTCGGGATGACGAAAACCCTCTCCGGCGCACTTTTGGCTCACGAAAGTGCGCCGGAGAGGGTTTTTGTGGCTCAGGGGACAGAGGGGATCCAAGTTCTATAGTCTGTGGCTAGGTCTATCCTGCCTGTCCCATTTTGGATGACGATAAAAACCCTCTCCGGCGCACTTTTGGCTCACGAAAGTGCGCGGGGGAGGGCTTTTGTGGCTCAGGGGACAGAGGGGATCCAGGTTGTATAGTCTATGGCTATAGGTCTATCCTGCCTCTCCATTTTGATTGCCACTGACACACCAAAGAGGCTATTGCCTCGTTTCGGCCTAATGATTGCCACTCACACACCAAAGAGGCCATTGCCTCGTTTCGGCCCAATGATTGCCACTCACACACCAAAGAGGCCAGCGCCTCATTTCGGCCCAATGGTTGCCACTCACGTAGCAAAGAGGCCATTGCCTCGTTTCGGCCCAATGAACTCACAGGTACAATTTACGGGATTTGCGACGTCATTTGCTACATGCCCCGTTCCATTTACAGGATTTGCGACGTGATTTGCTACATGCCCCGTTTCATTTACAGGATTTGCGCCGTGATTTCCTACATGCCTTTTCCCCTCCCATGCCCCCAGATATGTAGCTGACAGTCAAAGAGGCCATTGCCTGAAATAACCTAAACCCTAAACCCTATGCCACAGCCCTGGCCCCGACCCTTCTGAGCCATGGCATGAATTCAACCTCGCCGCCGACCTACACGGCCACCAGCTCCACTACAACAACCACACACACCTTCACTCGCGGATGCGGCTCGGTGAGAGTGACCTCCAGGAAAGCTTCAGGATTTCTGACTCTAAATACCATGTTCTTTTGTTGGGTTTGGAGCTGTACGTATGCTGCTTCAGCCATGTAGAATATCATATACATGGTGCCCCAGAAGAGACGATTGCAATCACTCGCAGCAGGGTAAGCGGCTTTTCTGCTATCCGTTTCAACACAGCTTCGCACACGTCACCAGTCAGGGAGGAAGGGTAGTGGTAGCCACTGCGTTGCCAGGATGCAGGGACATATAGCCGACCGAACCCAGATTACCCGGTTTTGGTTGCGGTGGCTAGTTAGCTCTAAATGGTCACCCACAAGGTTTCACGGTGACTTGTGCATGTGCCGGTATAGGTTAGCATTCCTAAGAAGACTGGGTGTCGGATGAGATTGCTGTTCTTGCAGCAGCGCCCCTGCTGGGAAACATGTGAGTATGTGCTCCTGCGCAAGGCACCATCTGCCACTACATGGATTTGAACATCGCCGCTTGCCTTTGCTCCCAACTGCTTTGCTCCCAACCGTCGTATTCAAGTACACACCTCCAAGTTGTTAGAGGGCTAGAGGGCAATTTGATGTTTAGTAAGATGTTTAACAGTGCGGGAGAATCGGGGATGGCAGCATCTCCGCACACTCCTACTCCTTACACGCTGTCATCAACCTCTCTGTTCTTCGCCCCTGCCCGCCCAGGAGGCGCACCCTGCACGGAGCGATATCCTGCTGCTGATCATCGGAGATGCCCTGCTCTACCAATCTGGAGGCCACTTGTAGGCTTGGGTTGGGGATGCATAGCCTTTTGATTCATGTAACAGATTGTTACACTGCCGTATTTCTGTCGTCTATATATATGTATATATTTTTTATTTATTTTGTTTTATTTATCTTTTACATATTATATTTTTCTTTCTTCTATGATATGATATGATATGATAGTATAGCATAGGATCATTCGATGACATGCGTCGCAGGTCCATCGTAAGCCCTGTAAACTCCCAACCCTGAACCCTGGAATCCTAGAAGACCTGAAGCCCGCAACCTTCCCCCTCCCCCCTCCCTGAATCCCCAGCACTCCTTGAACCTTAAAGCCTAAACCCTGAAGCCTAAACCCCTAAACCCTAAACCCTAAACCCTAAACCCTAAACCCTAAACCCGCATCCCTAACCCCTATGAAACCCTGATGCCGCGACACGCTGCTCAAGAGGCCAACACGCCTCCTACGCGACAGCTTGGGGCTGCTATGCCGACGCCTGGAAGATGAAGGCACCTCTGCGGGGTTCGGGGTTTGTAGAGTTTTACATGCGATTTGGGGTTTAGGGCTTAGGGTTTAGGAGGGTTCAGAGTTTAGGATGGTTCAGGGTTTAGGGTTTGGGGTTGAGGTTTGGGGTTTGGATGGGCTTTAGGGTTTGGGGTTTACAGGGTTTTGGAGTTTTGGTGGTTCGGAGTCTCGGGGTTTGGGTTTTGAGTGTCTAGGGGTCTTGGGGTTTAGGCTTTACGAGTTAGGGTTTGGGGAATCAGCGGGGACTAGGCAACTGAAGCGATTATTAGAAGCTGCTAAAACCCTAGGGATTGTAGGGGTTTTCCGCAGCCCGGTAAGTTCAACATCAACCCACGGACCGCCAAGTTGTTTGAGGGCCTGGGCTGCCTCTAGGTTTTAGGGTTTAGGGTTTGTAGGGAGTATAGTTATAGTGTTTATCGTAATCCCTAAACCCTAAACCCTAAAACCCACACCGATCCCGCCTAGGGCAGAGTGCTGAGCATTCAGGGCCTCAGGGGGTCAATAACGACCCTGAGGCCCTGAAACCCGAAACCCCTAAATTCTACACACCATCCCCTATGACTACAACCCTAAGACCCCAAAAACCCTAAACCCCTAGAACCCTAAAACCCTAAAAACTCTATAAACCCTAATACCCTAAAAACAGTAGACCCTCTGAGATTCCCACTTCATGGCAGGCACGGGCCATCGACCCGCGTCATGTGCCTGCTTGCCAGGCTCAGGCCGTAGACTGTCTGCAACCAGATCGGGATTTCAAATTTTAGGAAACTGCATTATAGTAAGTATGTGATTTTTCTATTTGTATATTGGTAGGTTTTTTAGCATGTTATTTACTGGTTCTGTGTTTTCGTACCTTTTTTCAAATTGCCCGATGTCCACTGGTCCAGTAAGGATCCGGACTTTGCGCGATTCTGCGTGCAGGCTCGCATTCTGGAGGCGCCTTTTCGGTTACTTTATTGGGGTTCACGATATTGGGGTACCTCTTTGGGGTCCTGATTAGAAGGGGATCCTAATACTTGGGGACTATATTGGGGGTCCCTTGTTATCGTAAACCCCCCTCATGAGCTACCGTAGAAGGCCATGATGCGTTTAGGGTTTACTACAGTACCTCCAAGCTTCCTCGTGGTGCGTCGGAGCAGGATGCCGGACTTGGACTCCTTCCCAGACCCCTGGGAGGATCCAAGAAGCAGAACCCCCAAAATAGTACCCTCTGCTAGTATTCGGTCATTTTGAGGAACGCTTCAGAAGATCTACCTTCTGGATCCTCCCAGGGATCTGGGTTTGGATCATCTCCTCGTCCTGTCAGAGACATGGTCACTCGTCAAGGGGATAGTTTCAAGGGAGGGTCTGGGCAGATTGCAGGGCCCAGGAGCGGTCCAGGTGTGATTTAAAAACAAACGCTACATCCCAAGCCCTATCTCATGCAAAATCATTCTGCATCAGGGTCCCCTTCTGTCCCTCATCGTTTCGCCCTACAAAGAGCGACCCCCCCCCCCCACCCTCCCCCTCAAAAAAGAGCCCACTTTTGGAGCAGCCCCTCCTTCGCAGGGAATGCGAGACCGGGGCCGAAGGCGGCAGACGCTTTCGGAGCTGGGTCTGCGCCTTCCTCCCCGATGGATCCTGGGCTTCTTAAGTTTAGGGTTTAGGGTTTAGGGTTTAGGGTTTAAGGTTGAGGGTTGAGGGTTTAGGGTTTAGGGTTTAGGGTTTAGGGCTTCGCAGCCTTGCCTCGGCAGCCCAGTGGTCCCCTCTTCCCCTTTTTTTGGTTCAAGAGTCCCTTATAATCTTATAAAGTCGCCAACCCGAAAAAGGGTACCCTTATTATACCTATGGTTACTGGGCGAGCAAGTTGCAGAGATTTAGGGTTTAGGGCTTTTCGGGTTCAGGCTGCAATGAACATGGCACGTGCCGTGAGCGGCAGAGATGCTGCTCATGTTCTGCAGCTGCAACGAGGACCATTGCAGACAATAAAACCTAAGAAGCCCAGGATACTAGTATAGTGTCCCTAGTACTTTATTTCTTAAAACCTAGTCGTTCAAGTGGGAGGAAGCCAAGATCATGAAGGGGGGAGTATGGAGATTACCGTGCTCTTCTCATCAGGGTTCCAGCGCACACGGGGGCGATCACCAACGACCAGAGGTTCCAAAACCCTTGCATGTATCCCATTATGCCTCTTCCATCAACCCTGGAAGACTCTGAAGTCCTATACCCTGAAACCCATTCGGTCATATTCCATGCTGGTGAAGCCTGAAAGTTTCCGTTAATCTCTCATCCAGGCGACCTCTGCATGGAAGAAACCTCCACTTGTCGAGTTGAGGGTCTAGGGTCTACATACAGTAGAGGCGTACAGGTGTTGGGCTTTAGGTCTTCGCGTTCAGGGTATGTCCACAGATCGGGCGGCGCCGAACTCTTCGGGGATTCGCGTTGTCGGCTCAGGGGCCTTTGGGAGTCCCTCAGGATCTTCCATGTGGACAGCGGCACCCTGCCGCTAAGTCGCATCGACTTGCGGAGATTTGTGCATGCTGACCGCCATCTCATCTTCAGCGCTCCTTGGCAAGCTACAGGGTCTAGGATGCCGAGTTCGAACAGGGGGCAGCGCAAGTCATTGGAAGACGCCCTGACCTAGTTCCCAAAGAGACATGCTCAATTTTGCAGCGAAGAGCCTGCACCCTATAAAATCCGCAAACCCCAACACCCCGAACCGCCTGACGAAACGAAGGAAGAGTTCGACACGGGCCGAATCCTCCCTGGCCCATACATCTCTCGCGTCTCTGACCACTCCACCCGCTTCTTCCAAGCCTGGGAGAAACGTCGCCTGGCCTCGCCTCAGATGGGGTTTAGGATTTAGGGTTTAGGGTATAGGGTTTCGGGAGACTCGGGTTGAGGTTTAAGGGGGCTTCTCGCTCAGCGCGTCTCAATCGCAGGTTGCCTTTGAGCACCGGTCTGCCTAGGAAGCTACCTCCTGAAGGTTTTTGAGACATCTGTATCTTGCTGACACAACCTGGTTGATACTACAGTCGCCACACCCCAGAAGGCCTTGCTCGACACTGCGTCTGAGTCAGGTGCAAACACCTCTTTGCAGCTGCATGTGCTGGCCTGGCTGAACCAGGCCGCTTCCCGACTGCCCAGCAAAGTAGGGTTGGGTTCGACAGGCTTGGTCACGGTGCCTGAGAGTAGATGTAAAGTAAGGGAGCCGTTTGAGGTTAACCGTTCTGTTCTGAGCCAAGCTGGGCTTTGAGGTGAAAAGGCAAAAAAGGCCTCAAGAAAAGAGAGCTCAACGCCGACCAGGAGCTCAGCTACCCGGGCCGGACGCTGAAGAATGTTACGGCGAGCCTACGGCGGGTCGCCACGCAGTACCACGATGCCCAGGCTCGCTTGGGGGCAGCCCACCTCCGTGCCCAGTCTAACCTACGGGTTCTTGAGTGGAAAATTCGGGATATCTTTGGTCCCTACACAATCCTTAAAGAGTTACATAGGGTCCCATTTTCCCGACCAGCAGCCAACAGGCAGCAACCTCGTCTTTCTTTACCGAGGTCACATGTAGGGTTCTCAAGAAGATGGCCTCTAATATGGCACCTCTTTTTGCAGGGTCCCTGTGTCTACGTGGCCCCTTACATATTGTCTGCACACGTGGGAGGGCACCAGAAGAGGGCACCGTAATTTATAAGTTTGAGCTGACCAATCAGTTTGTTCGGAATTTCCATGTTTCGTAGGACTGTGGCTAGGTGGTGGTTTTTTTGGGGGCTCGTGTGCATAATTCAAGACCCCACCCTATTCTCAAGAAAGGCTCCCCCCCCCATGGCAGTCGCGGCCCCCCCCCCCCCCCCCCTTCAGGACACCGCCAGCCACGACAGATACGTTGCCGCTGCCAAGTTCGTACTGGGACCACGTCGTGCCACGTCGTCAACCGTGGTTCCTTTTTGGGGGGTATATCTATAGCCGTATACAAAGACAAAATGCGATACACCCCTTGGGCGGTTTCGATTTTTTTGGGAGCTTCTTCAGGGCATGCAGGAGCGTCTTGGGGGGTTCATGTCATGCATGCGCTGGCAACAGAACTCCTCGTGAGTGGCGGCTTTTGAAATGAAGGTATGTTTGGAGTGCCCACTTCGGAGATCGTTGTTGCGAGGTTTGCCGGCGACCTAAAAAGCCTAGAGGGTTTGTTGCTGTGCCACATCGTACAATCATGATCATACTGCTGTGCTTTACAGGTTGCATAGTGCAATCTGGTATGACGTAGAAAAGTCTAGTGCAATATCATGCACTCTACAAAGATTAGATCGGACTAAACCACTGCAAGAGGTAGCCATGATTAGAGGCGAGGTCTTCTGTTATCACGAGAACCGATAGGGGCCGACCCTAAACCGATACCCAACTCCCATAGGGCCGACCCGATTCCACGCGATAGTCGGGACACACCAGAGGTTTGGACCGCTACTCACATAGGGTTTTAGGGTTTAGGGTTAGGGTTGTTTAGGGTTTAGGGTTTAGGGTTTAGGGTTTAGGGTCATTTTGGGTTTAGGGTTTAGGGTTTAGGGTTTAGGGTTTGGGGTGTGTGTATGTATAAGCCATATGAACCGCTGCATCGAAGCTCAACACAGGTTCGTTCCGGAATCTCGTGATCCTGCGGCGTGGCCTGGGATTCTGTGTGGAGGCTTCCTTTCCCGTCAACCTTTCGGAGGCGTCTCGGGCTGCATTTTTTGCAAGAATGTGTGGGAATTCAGGTGGCCCCTTCGGGTCAAAGCGTCGCGCTGGATCTTCCTCATGTCTCTCAAGCTTCAGCAAAAGCCCTAAACCCTAAACCCTAAACCCTATAAGCCCTTCTCAGGCATCCATCCTCGGTCGCCGCTTTCTGTGCGTCCAGGCACCTGACATCGTCGAAGAGCTTGATCCACAATGCCTGGAGGCCCGGAGATCGCTGAATCTGGGACTTGAGGCTTCCGATGGTTTAGGGTTTAGGGTTTAGGGGTTAGGGCTTAGGGCTTAGGGCTTAGGGTTTAGGGTTTTGGTCTAGGGCTTCCAAGTTTTGGAGTTGACAGCAGGGGGGGGGGCTCTTTGCATCCTTGAGGCTGTACAAATAGTTGATTAGGTCTGTCTCATGTCAATGCACCGAAGTCCTGAGAATCCATCCTAGGGCGTCCAGTTACAGGTACCCAGATGTCTGTATTGAGTATAGTTTCCGGGCACCCGCTTCTAGAACAGTGCTACAATTGGTACTATCAAGCCATTCAGGTCTCCGCAAGACCCTACTGAATACGGTTCCCGGTTTTGAACTCCATTTTCGCTCCACAATGAGTGACTCGCTGGGCCTCCAGAACCCTGAGCCCTCAACCCTAAACCCTGAACCCTAAACCCTAAACCCTACTTGGAGGTTCATGGTACTTAGTAACCAATTCTGACTGTACTTAGTAACTGTACTTATAACCATACTAGGGCACTTAAGGGGCTTCTTATTGGTTTATAAGGATAGTTATATTTGGCTAATAAGTACCATGAACCTCCAAGTAACCGTTAACCCCTAACCCCCCCCCCCCCCCCTCTCCCCCCCTTCCCCCCCTAAACCCTAAACACTAAACCCTAAACCCCAAGCCCTAAACCCTAACCCTAAACCCTAAACCCCAAACCCTATACCTAAACTCCTGCAGACGGTCTTCCGCTGCGAAGCCTGGCTTGCTGACTGCCTGGGCACTGCAGAGACGGACCAGGACGCAGCGGTACCAACCTTGGATCTTTCTGCAGGGTGGCTTGATACATATATATATATATATACACATTCATATATGCATATATTATATGTACATACATGTGAATATCAGTCTGAGTGTCAATATGAACAAGTATCAAGTCCTCACAAGTCATTTTCGGGTATATATGTAAGTGGAAGTATAAAGGTGTGTATATATATATACATGTATATAGCAGCACAAATGCGTATGTGCATATGAACACACATAAACACACTGAGCAATTGGAGTTGAGCGCATGGGGTGCTGCAACGGCACCATTCCAAGACTAGACCTACCCTACCTCATAATTTCAACAAACCAGGACTTACCGCACTCCTTCCGGAACTACCAGCCTCAGAGGATGGGTCTGGGAATGGTCAACGATATCGAGGACCCCCCCATTCGGCCTGAAAGTTCTTCAGGGTTTCGGGAGTGCAGGAGACGTACTCTGAAATTATGACTCAATGTCCGTGTCGAAGAGAGTCAGATATTCCATGCAAGCCGAGGGGGCATCAGCCAAGCCAGCGACGGGTGTCAGTGAAAGCACTGTCTGTCGTTCTTAGGAGCAGAAAGCGCAATTGTAGCAAAACCTGCACACAATGCGCAACCAATCATTGCATTCACAAGCCTTGCCATCAAGAGCTTGATGCTCACAGACATCTTTGGCACAGGATTGCTGGCCTGACTGCCCGGCCGACGTGACCCAGCTTTTCCATAGTTTGGCAGGTTCGAGTTCTCTTGCAGGTCATGGCTGCTGAGATGGACTCACAGACTGTTAGAGAGTTCCCGGACGGCTTGCAGTTTTGTCTCCGTTGCCGTGGGGCTCAGGACAGATGTGCATGGTGGAGCCCCTAGTTAGGGGCCTAATTAGGTACAGTAGATACATGTAGATACAGCAGCCTACTTTGTGGCTCCTGTGCAGCTGCGAGGGGTGCTGCTGTTCGCAGCGGCGAAGCAGCAGTACCTCGGTAGCCAGCTAGTTCTGTCATGGTGCGAACTGCTTTCCTTATTGGAAACAAGACGTATGCCCGAAAGGGTAAATGTGTCATATGGTGGAAAGACATTCCAACCGCTTTCCATGATGTTGATGTTGCACGCGACATCTTGGAAGACTGTGGTTTCGAGTGCGCGACGCCAATGAAGGATGCCACTTCTGCAGAATTACGAGCTTTGCCTCTTCGGACTGCAGGGTCACTTCGAGACACGCACTCCCCCCTTTGTTTGTGGCTCTACTCAGGCCATGGCGTAACTTATGCTGGTCGCTTATACCTTATACCGTCTGACTTCCAAATGAAGCTTCCAGCCAAGCCCGTGTGGAGCTTCTTCGCCTCCCCGGTGGCCATGTTGGCTTTCTGGCTCTACACAACCCACGGCCGGGAGCTGTGTCAATGGTATCTTTTCTGGACGGCGCTGGCAACATTCTGCCTCCTCGAGTGGATGGCTGTTGCACAGTGGGCCTTGAAAGTATGTTGGCAGATTCTGACGTGGCATCCTCTAGCTGACTCAGTTTGTTTCGATGACTTGGAGGCACAGCTAGCCAACATCCATGAGACGCACCGCGCATCTCGTGCAGCGTTTGTGTTTGTGCTCGATTGCTGCCGCGAGCATCGCCACTTCGGGCGATGGCATAGGCTCCTGTTGTGCTGGCAAGGTGTAGGGAGTGCTGCACCTCAGTGCAGGGCCTCGAGCAAAAGCACCAGACCCAATTTCTTTACGGTCTTTGCCTGCGAGCAAGGTCGAGCCGCTTTCTACAAGCAATGCTCGCATGGATTTCTTGTCTCAGCCTTGATTGAGACGCTGCGCGATCGAGAACGGAGGTGCATCACCCTGCACTACATGTCCAAGGAATCTGTTGTCGCATGAAAGATGTGCGAGCCTCCTGCGGTTTTGGAAGGCAAAGGCCTTGCATCTATAGCACTGCTTACTCACTGTCCAAGGAGATCTTGTTCGTGAACCCCGCGGTGTGCAGAAACTCGCCAGCTCCGACACTGCTAGCAAGCATGTCAAAGCCTCGGCTGGTGCAGTGGGTGGCAGATGATGTGGACTTCTTGCGGAAGTCCCGGGCCAGTCTTCACAGGCTCATTCTTTTCGGCCATCGCCGCCGACACCAGCTGTCTCGGCGGCCTCGCCTTTCCGAGGATGCACGTGCCATCATCATCTTGAATGATGTGGCACATGTTGTTGCACTGGGTAAGCGCCGTTCTGTTCAACGACTTGAATATGTCACTTCTACCAGAAGGCAAGGGTCAAGCAACGTTCAGTGTGTGCTGTGCATGATCGACATCATGCAAGCCAAGTATCTCTGTGACAAAACCACGGTGCTCATCACAGATGCTTTCTTCGCGAATGATCCCAACCGCCAGAAAAATCTTCAATCAGCTCAGCGCAGCTTTGGCCGCATTGACAGCTTGATCGAGAAGATTGTCAGCGTACTCGATTCGTGCAGCATGGAGCCATTCTTTCGAGGAAGGCTAGAGGAGATCATTGCAGGACGTTTGGCAGTGCAACTTCTCGAACAGATGACAAGGCTTGAGGAGCAACCGGGCATCAGGGAGTTACTCCATCGAGGTGCGCGTGAGTGTGCGTTTCATTTCTGCAATTCCTTGCACGCATACGCAGAAGGATCGTCCGCTAGCGGATGCCTCCAGGCTAGCTGTTGTATGGCGCATTCCCTTGATGTTTGCTGCGATACTGCTAGGGAATATTCAGGAGTTCCGGTCCCATGCCGTTGATTTCCAATCATCTTGGACAGCCTATGCGAAGTACCGTGTCAACTATCAGCAGCAACGAGTCATTAAAGGAGTGTTGAAGCTTGCGTGGCGCAGCGCTACCCTACTGTGCCCGGGGCACGTGATGTTTCAAAGCACTGCCCGCAGCTTGTACCAGAGTAATCCACAGGAATTCAGCTGCAAGGCGCACCGGCAAACTCGGTTTTAAATGAGGAGACGTCTCGCTTGCCTTACACTTTGCGGATGACCGCCCTTGCGCACTCCTGGACGAAAACCAAAGCAGGAACGGCATTTTCGGCCGTGAGTCGAATACAATGAATGGTTTTTGCGGAGTCGATGTCGTGAGTTCGCCACTCCGCATGCTTAGGGAGCTTCCTCTCATTTGGCGGCGTATGGACGCTGCTGCATTCAACGTACTTTGCCCGGCAGAGCTTCGCAATATCAATGCCAACGGTCTTCCGGTTTAGTCTGGGGTATGAAATAGGGTTTAGGATTGAAGGTCAAGCGATTTTTGTGCTTTGGCTTTCAGAGCTTAGGGTTTAGGAGGACGTAGGGGAGTCGTGGCTGAAAGGTCTCTGCATCAGCCTGGGCCGAGATGAAGACTGGCAGGGGGCTGTGCTGTCCACGATCACTCAAGTTCCATCACTTCAAGTCCCTTAATTGTTAGAACAGTGGGCAAACCATCGCTAGATGCATAGATCTGTTTTTTTTCCAGAAGGTGTGCTACGCCCAGAGTCGCTTGACCCGTGCTTCTGCTGCTAAGCCCAGCCGGCGCAGGTCTGAGGTACAATGCCGCCTGCCGCCTACACCACACTCGCGTGGGCTGCTGCTGCAACGACTTCAACATCATTGAACAGAACCGGGCAGCGCACAAGGCTGACGTTTACCTGCAACTCGGCTGAGGATTCAGGTGGTGGGTTGTAGCAAAACACATGTGCCTGCAAGTTGTGGATGTAACAAGTGCGAGCGTGGTAGGAGGGTATGCTGTGAGCCGTCACTTGTCCGTAACCATTTTGGGTCGAGTGACTGGCTTTCCTTCTTTCTTTTGGAGCCAGTTACAGGCGGGAGAACTCATATGGACCTGGTGGTCGTACCTGACTCCTTGGCCGAAGTCCCCTCACAGACAATCGGCCGGGAGGACGGTGTCGAGCCAGTCCTGTGGGTGACTCTTGTCGCCCTCGTGTGTGCCTTCCTTGCCGGCTTCTTCCTCGGCCGGTGGAGCGTTCGCGAGGCGCCGCCTCAAACTTCGCCACCTTTGCCCGTTCCAGTCTCGCGGAGGGCAGGTGGGAAAGGCTGGCCATAAGCCATGGATCCCACAGAAGCGGAATTGCAAGCCATCCAGACCTTGGCGCACGCTCTGGCATGGGCTGGAGTGGCTGATGATTTGGAGGCCACTCTACGCGAAGCCCTGGGACAACCAGACCGACTGAGGGAAATCGCACTCATCCCGAGGGCAGCTTGGGATACCGCTGTGGCAGCTCTGACCGTCCCTTCCGGCCCGGCACCAGCTGGAGGCGGTCCTCAGCCCACACGCAATCTAAGCCTAGTCGAGGGCGCCCGAGTGGAATCCTTCCGTAGGGTCTGCCTCATCAGAATGGGCCAGAACCCAGGACTTGACCACGCGGCAATGGCTCCCGCTGTCCCCGGGCCAGTTGCGCCTCCTGGTCAGCCAATTGGTGGAGGCTCACGGAAGCTAAAGCTCTCAGCCATCCTCGACCCTACCTTGGATGCAGAAGTGCAGCCTCTCCAGCAGGCCGAGCTCCAGACCATGTACAACGACTACAAGACGAAGTTCGGCGACTTCCCTGGCCCTGACGTGGACCCCTCCCACGACCAATTGGCGGCCTTGAAGCAAGTCCTCGCCAGCGGTAGCCCACCGTTCGCCGACTTCAGTGTTTTCGGCCCCTACGGACTCAGGCTCCTGCGCAAACAGTCCTTCACGAGCTATGTCCTCAACGTGGCCACCGGTGAATGGACCAAGAGGGAGCAGCCAGGCCCAGGCACGTTCCACTCGTGGTACCAGGCCTGGAAGGTGCTCAGGACAGCTCTCCTCTTGCTCGATGCGGTGGACGCAGAGAGGCTTGACGCCTACTCGGAGCACATCAGGGCCTTTGTGACTCAGTTCTCGGACGAGGCCTGGTGGATCGTGTACCGTGCTGACACCAGAATGAGGTCGGAGCATCTGGAACGCATCCGCCGCCAACTTGCTGAAGCCCCGGCGCATGGGTACACCGCGGACCGTCCGTGGAACGCAGCCTTCGCTGCAGCAACCAAGGAGCAGGACTTCTGGACCAAAGAGCTCGTCACCCCAGCCACCTTGTGGTTGTCACAGAACAGGTCGGGAACCTCACGTTCAAGTGGTGGAGATGGCTCGCATCAAGAAGGACCTCCTCTCAAGAAGCAGAAGGCCGCCCGAGCAAAGAGACGCTATGAAGGAGACGACCTCTCAAAGAAGGACGGAGATATCTACACCCACAACAGAAAGGGGGTGGAAATCTGCCGAGATTGGAACAAAGGCAAGTGCGGCAAGCCCGCGGCCCAGAGCAAATGCGACCGCAAGAGATCCCATCAGTGCAATTTGTGCTTGGGACCGCATCAGGCCTCCGCATGCCCTGGGCCCAAGGCAAGCTGAAAGCCGCAACCAAAAGCTGACCCGATGCGCGGCCTCCCTCCGAAGCCGCCACCCTCGAAGCGTCAGAAAAGGGAAGAAAGTGAAGCCAAGAGCGGCAAAGAGGTTCTGTTGGCGTCCGAGCATTCCACTCCTGGAGAGTGGAGCCCTGGCGCCTCAGGACCGCCGCCTAGGTCGAAAAGCAACCAGCTGACTTCGACCGCCAAGCAGACCCGGCTGGACCCAAAGAATACAAGGCCAGCAGAGCCCAGTGGACCGCCCCCGGCTGGGCCGCCGGTCCCCGCAAAGACAAGCGTCGTGGCAGCTCCAGCAACCACGGCAAAGGCAGCGGCAAAGGCAACGGGGCCCCAACACTGCATCCCGAGAGCCATGCCGGCCAACCTGCGCTTTGAGTCCATGGGCGAGTTGCCAAACTACCCAGCCTGCAGTGTCGGCCCACGACCGTATGGGCGTTGGGTGGAGTCAGACCATGCAACGCCGGCCAAGAAACCGTATGCGCTGATCTTGTTCTGTGGTCGTTCCCGCCCGGGAGACCTGCAACAGAACTTGGCGCACATGGGCTGGCTGGTGTGTGCTCTTGACACGGCAATCGAGCCTCCCACGAACATCCTGGATGAAGGAGAATGGGGCCCCATCATCCAAGACATCATGACGGGTTTCTACGAAGCCGTTTGGGTGGCAACCCCCTCTAGCACATTCAGCCCACTTAGTTCACCGCCTGGACCAGTGCCGCTGAGATCCCTGGCGCACCCTATGGGACTGCCTGGGTTGGGCGAAGATGATGCCAAGCGGTTGAAGGAGGCGAACGCGCTGATCACCCGCACCATTGAATCAGCAGATGGCCAGCGGGCGAACGGGAAGGCTTGGGGCATCGAGAACCCAGACCACGGTTCAGAGAAGGTGGACCTGTGGGATATGCCGCAGCTTAGGCAATTGGCCCACAACTCCCGGAACTTTGTCGCCAACTTCGACCAGTGCGCCTTCGGTCTGGGTACAAAGAAGCCCACGCGTTTCATGTACCACCAGATTGTCTTCGAAGGGCTGGACAACATTAGATGCCCCCATCCTCCGAAGCAGCAGAAGGACCACAGAGGCCACACCTACATGGCGCCGCACCCGAGCGGAGAAGGAGAGTCAAAGAAGCGGGGCGAGCACACACCACACCTGTCGTGGGTCATCGCAAAGGGCATCCACGACGGTTGGCGAAGGAAGGAGCTCAGTGAGGAGGAGCTCCCGTGAAGCCCGACCAATGGGGCAACTGATCCTGTCGCACAACTGCAGCCCGCGCTTCGACCTGCCACAGAGCGCGAGATCCAGAACGCGAAGGCGCTGGGTGGCATGCGGAACCCATCCAACTCGCTGCTTCGAGTAAAGGGTGCCACAGAAGCTGGGGCTGCGGTCAAAGAGCTGCTGGACACAGCCCTCGATACCTGGCCAATGTTGCTGCAGCCCGCCCGGGCGATCTTGGAGGGAGACGAGCCGCAGGACTACCCGGACAACCTCATCGAAGTCATTCGCAGCTCCGTCTTAACTTTGTTGGGTGCAACTAAGGAACAAAGAACCCGCCGGAGGACAGCAGCAGCTGCAAGTACGCCGCTGCGAGCCGACATCATAGAGGCGTGGGGCAACGTGGCCGACGACCCTGACTCCAGTACCCTGGCGGCGTGGCTAGACCACGGGGCCCCACTCGGGATCACCCAGCAGATCCCGTCGCATGGGGTGTTCCCACCGGCTGCCGAAATGGAGAAGATCGAGGCAGACCACATCCAGAGAAGATCCCTTGAAGGTTGGGAAAACTACGGTTCGGCCCAGGAAGAGGCCGAGGACTTGAAGGCACTCATCCAGGACTACGTGGATCGTGGTTTCTGCCGGGTGGTGAAGCCTGACCAGGCAGAAAAGGAACTCGGTCCAGACTACGTCCTCAACAAGCTGGGGGTTGTCGTTAAGACCAAACAAGACGCTCAAGGACGATGGGTCAAGAAGTTCCGAATCATCTGGGACCTCAAGGAGAGTCAGGTGAACAAAGCTTGCTGTCAGGGCGAGCGAGTGCTCCTGCCCCGTTTGCTCGACGTGGTTGCCTCGGTGCTCAAGGCATACCGGGATGGTCTCAAGCCACACCTGGCGGGGGTGGACATTCGAGACGCCTTCATGAACATCCCGGCAGGGGTCGACAAGGCCTTCACGACGGCGGCCCTCCCAGGAACAAGGAACAAGCCTATGGTGGTGGTCTTCGACACCGTAGTCTTTGGGTCAGCCTCGTCGCCGACAGTGTGGGGCAGGTTCGCTGCTTGGCTTGGCAGGACAACCGCTGCAATTGCCAGGAACAGCCCTCAAGTGTACGTCGATGATCCGGTGTACGTCATGGCCGGCGACCTGGAGCAGGCCACAAGATCCCTGAGTCACGCGCTGCTCTGGACGGCGGTGGCGGGATTTCCTGTCAAGACGTCGAAAGCCACAGGCGGGAAACAAATCGAATGGATCGGAGCCAAGCTGGCGTGCCAGGACGACACCAAGACAGTGACGGTCTCCATCCCAGAGGCAAAAGTGACACAGCTCTTGGACGACACCGACAAGATCCTGGCCAAGCCGGTGGTGGGTTCCAAGGTCCTGAGGTCCTATGCCGGCGCCTTGTCCTTCGTGGCTGGCCTCGTTCCACACCTACGCCCTTTCCTTTCGACGCTGTGGGCGGCACTTTCCCAGCATGTGCTAGCGAATGACGGATCGCATACCAAGCGGTCCAGACAGCTGGTGCATGTCAAGAGAATCCGTCCTGCGTTAAAGTGGATCAGGGCGCTGCTGGCAGGAACACCCGGGCCACTCGAACGGTGCTTCTTCGCAGTGCCAGAGAACGCAGACCTTGAGATCGTCACCGATGCTTCGCCGTGGGGCATGGGAGGACTAGTGAGAAAGGGTGGAGAGACAACAGAGGCGTTCGCCCTCCCCCTTTCCGACGGGGTCCTAGCCAAGTTCAATGCCCAAAGAGGCGTCCCTGATTTCAATACCCTCTGGGAGGGGCTTGCCTTGTTAGTCGCATTCCGTCTGTGGCTGCCCTCCATAGCCTTCGGAGCGACCTTCAGGGCCAAGTCTGACAACTTGGGGTTTCTTATGGCCCTGGCCAAGGGAAGCGCGAAATCTGCGCAACTCAACGTGCTGGCCCGGGAATTTGCCTTAGACCAAGCGCTCAGATGCTACAAGGTCACGGGACTAACGCACATTCCGGGCGTCACCAATGTACAGGCAGATGCCCTGTCCCGGAAGTTCTCACCAAAGCCCCCCGAAATGCCGAAAGCTCTCGAAGGGGTGAAACTGGTGAGCCTAGATCTCAACGACGGTTTTTGGAAGGTGTGAAATGATCGTGCTCGGTTGCACTTTCGCGACTTGCTCTTGCATTTCCCTCTCTCTCCCTCTCCCTTTGTCTCTCATCTTTCATGTTGAGGTTTGTGCTTTAGACGCTTCGCGCTTGCAGATGCCGCGGCCCAAACGAACTCTGGGCCGGTTCTGGCCAAGTAGTAATGTAGGAGATGGGGGGCGCTCGGTGCGTCCGCGATGCACCATCCTCCACGAAGGACCCGCTATCCCGGGGCGACCTGCGGGGGGTGCCATCGGGGGTCCAGCGATCCATCGTGATAGACGAGGTGAACCGCGCCCGTATGGTAGGGGAAATGCGCAGCAAGCCCTCGCGGCAGCAAGCGACCCCGAATCATGCAGGAATGCGCTACTAGCCGAAGTTATGGCGTCAACCTCTGCTGCGCCCATCGAGTCCAGAAAGAGGCTTTGGGTTCAGCTTAGCGACAAAGCGGGCTACCCAGACCATTTCCAGCTGACGCCCATGCATATCAGGACAGTGATGGGGGCCCTCAAGCTCGGAGGTTATCGCTCAGCCGTCCAGTACATGGAAGTGGCGAAGCAAGAACACATCGGGCTGGGGCATCCGTGGACCGAAAAGTTACAACAAACATACCGGGCCGCAAAGCGGAGCTGTATGAGAGGGCTTGGGCCGGCAAAACAGGCTTCCGCCCTACCAATGGGAAGATTAGCCGGCTTCAGCTCTTCTGAGCCGATGGCTACTTCAGGTCCGACGTCCCCAGCCCGGTCCACGATCATCTCGTCATGGTGGATGCTCCGCGAACTCGAGGCCTCCAGGGCTAAGATTGAGCACCTGACATTTGATCATGTCAACAAGACTGTGACGTGGTTACTCCCTTCGTCAAAGACGGACGTCGCTGCCCTGGGGGCCTCGCGCAAACACTCGTGCGCGTGCTCTGCGCTCTGCCCAAGCCTTTGTCCGTACCATTGTGTCCTCGCACAGGTAGGCGACAGGCCGGGCCACGCTCCCGTCTTCACAGACGTAGAGGGATACCCGCCCAGCAAAGCCGGGTGGGCTAACACGTTTCAGTCATTGGCCGCCGCTCTGGGCCTACCGGTCACATTTCGGAACGGTGCTCGAGCCTTCACCGGCCACTCAGCCCGAGCCACCGGCGCACAGTTTATGGCAATCAAAGGAATCGAACTTTGGAGAATCCAAATATTTGGGCGATGGGGCTCAGCGGTAGTACTCCGCTACCTACGAGAAGCCCCAGTTGAGCAGCTTGGGCAGCTGGCAGTCGAAGCCGGCCACGCCGACAGCCTAGCCCGAGCACGAAAAGAGCTCGAAGAGCTCATTGCGAAGGGACAGGCCTTCCTGAACGCCCAGCAGATTGCCGTGCCCGATCCGGACTGGCTACAAGATTGCGAGGCCTCTTCATCCCAGACTGGGGCTCCGATCCCCGCTGGTGCAGCCCCGCCGCGTGACTTTTCAGCACGGCTGGTGCTCAATCTCTCTCCTGGGGGCAAGTTGCATCGTTGCGTGACAGACTTGTCTGACCCACGCATGGCACTGCACCCGAAGCATTGGCGAACCAGCTGCGCTTGGCCCTTCGCAAGAGATTGCTCATCCTTCTCGTGGGTTCCATTGGACCACGAAGGCAAGAGATGCAAGCGCTGCTTCCCGAGTCAAACTCGCGAACCCAGCTCATCTTCCTCGTCCTCCTCCACGGACTCCTCCACATCACCCTCCGACGCGCCATCAGCAGGTGGGTAAAGGTGCACTGGCGTCTGTTTTGGGTAAGGTCAGGTGGGATCTTGTCCTGCCCTCTTGATTTCAGGGGTCCGAAATGAGACGCCTCTAGCAAGAGGAGCGACCTTACGTCCAAAAGTGTAAAACAGACCGTGCACTCGCCGTGCTGGGATGCTCGGGCTTGTTGGTGGTTGCTGGGGAGCGGTGGGCACTTGTTGCAAAACACATGTGCCTGCAAGTTGTGGATGTAACAAGTGCGAGCGTGGTAGGAGGGTATGCTGTGAGCCGTCACTTGTCCGTAACCATTTTGGGTCGAGTGACTGGCTTTCCTTCTTTCTTTCCCACCCACCCACACCTGGGATCTTGTCCTGCCCTCTTGATTTCAGGGGTCCGAAATGAGACGCCTCTAGCAAGAGGAGCGACCTTACGTCCAAAAGTGTAAAACAGACCGTGCACTCGCCGTGCTGGGATGCTCGGGCTTGTTGGTGGTTGCTGGGGAGCGGTGGGCACTTGTTGCGGAGGCCTCGGCTTGAGGCATATCTTGCCCGATTTCGCAAGTACCGCAGGCTCATCCACAAGCCCTATTGGAAGAGGACTCGCCTGTTTGGTTTTTTCTTTCTCTCTCTCCTCTCTCTCACTCCGACTCCCTTGCCTTCCCTTCTCACTCTTTCCCTCTCCCCCTCTCTACCTGTGTGTTTTGCTGTCCGTCCACCTCCGTTCTATTGCCCAGGGGTTCGCTATAGGCCCAGCCGCCGTCACGTCAGGCGTTAGAAGGCAAAGGTCTCGCACTAGTACGAGCCCCGCTGGAAGACGTGAGGCCCATGACCGACCAAAATTCAGCCTCCAAGCCCATTTGAAGTTGCCGCCCTCCTGCTTGGTATTGTTGCCATGAAAACTGGGTCAAAAGCCGAGCCAAGCCGAGCCAAAGATCTTGACAAGACTGTTTTCTCGTGTCGGAAGCTCAATTCCTCTAGGGTAGTACTATTATTGTCATTATCATCATTATTATTGTTATTATTACTATTATTACTGTTATTATTATTGAGAAGCTGTGACAGGAAAGTCGAGCTGGTTTCCAAGGCTTTTGATCCTGCTTTCCCTCGTGGCTGGGGGCCCAGCAACCACCTCCCAGTGACAGATTTGGAGGTTTGCGTTAGGGTTTAGGGTTTAGGGTTTAGGGTTTGGGGTTTGGGGTTTAGGGTTTAGGGTTTAGGGGTTAGGGTTTGGATCTTGCACAGTCATGACAATATGCTGACGTTTCTTGTGGGGATACAAGCTTGGTTACATGCCCCATGCTGGTTGGACACCACCACTCCCTTCAGCACACTGCTTGCCAGAATGGGTTGTGCCTTGCTACACCCAAGTGGCAAAGCCAAGCATCCTACGGAGTCCTCATTCCTAGACTGGAATTAGGGCCCCGAAATCTCCACCCATACAAGTAATCCCAGACTCGTTGGAAAACCCTAAACCCTTACGAACTGCAGGCTGTGATTGGCATGGCCTTTGGATTGATCCTCGGACTGATATAGCCATTGGCAGGTGGTGCCCCTGCTTTTGGTTCAGGGTTCAGGGGGGCTTGGGGGCGTTTTGGAGGGTTCACTAACAGTTCCGGTTTGTATACCCTAAACCCCAAACCCCAAACCCCAAACCCCAAGCCCTAAACCCTAAACCCTAAACCCCAAACCCCAAACCCCAAGCCCTAAACCCTAAACCCTAAACCCTAAAGCGTTCAGTCTGCAAGGCCGGAAGAGTCAAAGCAGACTTGTTGCTTCCTTTCACTTGTTCCACCCAGCCCTGGAAGCTGCAAAGCACCCAAAATATAGGGGCCTTAAAAAGTTTAGGATTTAGGGTTAGGGTTTGGGGGGGGGGGATGATCGTATATTTATGAAGGGACCCTAGGGGAATATTATACGAGTAATTATTCCCGACCCCTATATCACCCTAAACCTCAGCTTACTCATAGTCGTATACCCTGTATTTTGGGGGCTATAATAGGCCGGGTACGTTGAAGGTCAGTCCAGGCTAAAGCCCCCCCCCCCCCCTGCGACAAACACCCCTAAACCCTAAACCCTATACCCTAAGCCCTAAGCCCTAAACCCTAAACCCTAAACCCTAAACCCAAACTATCGAAGGAGGCATTGCTTCCGCAGACTTCGACGGCCACGGCGGCGAGCGTCGGCACCTAGCGAGGCACGGCGGAAATGGGTACGTTTAGGGTTGAGGGTTTAGTGTTTAGGATTTGGGATTTGGGGTTTGGGGTTTCGGGTTTAGGGTGCGGGTTTAGGGTTTGGGGTTTGGGGTTTAGGATTTAGGGTTTAGGGTGGATCCCTCAAGATACCCTGATTATCTGGCTGGCTCCTCAGCATAAGGGGCAACTATTACAGGACACTCCGGGTGATTCGAGTCTTAGGCACGGTAGCTCCGCTCCGGGAATAACTGCGTTCTTCCGCCCATGGCCGGATTCGTTCTCAATCGTGGGGTCTTTGTGTGCTTGCCTGCCAAGAGTCCCTAAACCCTAAACCCTAAACCCTAAACCCTAAACCCTAAACCCTAAACCCTAAACCCTAAACCCTAAACCCTAAACCCTAAACCCGAGGTAGAGCTGATCCACCTCCGGCAGCAGTTCGCCAAGCGCTCGCGGACGATCTGACCTGATGAGCCCAAAAAAGGGCTCCTCCATGCTTTCTGGCTGGGCTTCTGAGCTTCGGGAGGGCCACTGCACTGGGTTTGCTTCTTTTTTGAGCACTGTCACGTTCATACCTAAGCTAGACTAGGACCCAGAGCAGGCGCTTATTCCCTTTGTTTAGGGTCTATAGGTCTCTAGGTTCCCTGATCAGCCCTTTTAGCCAACAAGGGCACCCTTTGATTCCTAGGTCACTCTAGGGCCTCGTCCAGCCTATGCCTAAAACTCTCAGCCGCTTGAGTCCCCATACCCTAAACCCCAAACCCCAAACTCTAAGCCCTAAACCCTAAACCCCAAACCCTAAACCCCAAACCTTAAACCCCAAACCCTAAACCCCAAACCCTAAACCCTAAACCCCTTGAGACGCTTTCATCCCCTCAAACTCGGCAGGACTTGATGAAGGAGCGCCAGAGGGTAATGGCAATGCCGGAGCCGGTCTGTACTCCAGCTTCTTATAATTATAATTATCAGACTGTAAATTATGATGCTATAAGAATATTCCACCTTTTTTGGGTTTATGGTTTAGGGCCAGGACGCCGAGAAGGCCCTTATTCCTGTTTGTAGGTTTAGGTTCCCTCAACAAGCCCCTTTAAACCAAAAAGGGCACCCCTTTCATTCCGAGTAATATAATCCGCAAAATTACTGTAATATACTAGATGAGAATATGATGATACTGCAATAGACAATAGCAATTTGATACTATGATATACAACAATTGATCTGATACTACATTCGTATACTTCTATATCAGTGTGATACTGTAGTACAGTGTAGTCTAAAACAATAATTTGATACTTTCATCATATAATACTATACTAGTAGAATACTATTATATATGGTACTATCAGAATATGATACCATGATCGTATACGATACTGATATGATACTACAAGAAGATGACAATAGAGTAATATGATATTATGAAACATATGTCTTCGAACAGTATGACAGTATATTAGTATGACAATCTACCATGTGCTTCTAGCACTCGCAGAAAACAAGTACTAGCGCCCCTTCAGCTGAAAAAGGCTCCTACCTGTCATGGAAGTCTTCGAGTCGAAGATATTCTACTCCAGAGCTACGGCGTGCTTGCCATTCCCAAGCCCTGAGGAAAGCACCTGCTTTATAGCTCGGCACGGGGTTTTGTAGGCCAGTGTTCTGCGCATTTTGAGGGCCTAGGAATCCCAAGCCCATGCTGGGGAAGGTAGGGTTTAGGGTTTAGGCTGGTTCCAAACTCCAGAGTTCTTTGCGGCCAAGGCCCCAGGCTACAACGGGCCGCGCTATGCGCAGGCTGCCCTCTTCCTTGCAGAGCTGCTGGTAAAATCTTGCAAAGTAAGGGTCCGCGAAGCGCCACAGCAGACATGCTGGCAGATCAAGTTTCGTTTACCTAATTTGAGAGCGCTTTGGGCTTACTTTGGGCAATTGAGGGTTCTGGGGCCTTCCACACACCTCCCGCTAGCATTGAGGTAGCCGGGGGCTTCATGAGCGGACATGGAATTGCACTCATGGGCCAAGGCTAAAGCCCCCAAATTTGGGGTCCAATCTACCTCACAAACAGCTCCGATGCGTTCTAGGATGCCCGCATATAGTGCCTGTGCAGAACCTTGGGCCGCCGGAAGTAGGAGGTGCTTGGACCGCGGGTCATGGGCCGACATGAGAGAGCTCCACCGTCACCATCTGCGGGGCACATTCAGGCAAGCGACGTCAACGATGGCTGGCTGCAAAGGCCTGTGGCACGCCGGTGCTTTTGATACGTATGACTTTTATCTGTCGGTATGGTGGCCCACGTGCGGGGCAGGCACGGGGTGCCAGAGATCCATGGTATCTAGCCGTTGCCATGGAGAAGTCCGGCAGGAAGTCAAAATCTTGTTTCAAGTCTGGTTCGCAGAACACGCGCACGCACCGAATCATACGCGAAGGCGCCTTGCTGCAGCAACTGAAGTCAGCTGCCTTGCGTCAGCGCTCTTTCTGGTAGGCTCCTGCAGTGCCAGCAGCAAGGACAACTCCTTCCAAAGAAGGCCGAGCTGCAATGCCACGGTGGGCTTCGGGTGTGTTTTGACTTTCGTGCCGTTTTGATGAAACTCGTCGGGCGTGCCGAACTTTTAGAAAACAAGCCGCCATGGTAAGCTGCTCATGGTATGGCCCTCGCAAGCAAATTGCAGATCATTCACCCAAGAACACTGAACCCAGGTCTTTGACCCAATGAGCACATTCTGAACACCCAGAGGCCCACCCCCCCCCCCCCCCCCCCCCCCCCCCCCAAAAAAAAAAAAAAAAAAGGTCCGGACCGCCCTGTGGTCACCTACCGTTGTTGGCAGGGGTGGGTGGGCGGGCGGGGGAGGGGGGTTTGGTGTTCAAGGTTTTGCGGGTTTTCCTGATCGTTTTGAAGCTTTTAAAGGTTTGTTTGGGGGTTGCAGGTTTTAGCTATTTTGGGTTTTAGGGTGTATACAGCTCAGGGCTTTTCGGGTGAAGGGCGTGGGGTTTAGGGTTGCGTGAGGGCGGTGAGCCGAGCCAGGATGCCTATCTGCTCGTGCTGGATGTGATCCAGCAGCTGAAGAGTGAGCAGACCTTGGGCCGGATACAGGCCTACCTATAGGGGTTTTGAAGTCGAGTTGAGGGGTTTTAAGGTTGGGGATTTAGGGGTTTATCCTCAAGGGATCGAGGGTTTATGTTTAAGGGTTTAAGGGTTTAAGGGCTCGAATTGAGGTTTCGGGTTTAGGTCTCAGGGCCGGCAAATTCGCAGGTGAATCCGGGCCAAAAGCTGACGGTGTTCGGCGACATCCACGGCCAGTATTTCGATTTCATGAACATGCTGAGCTCGGGCTCTCAGCGTGCGGCTTGTTGTTCTGGGCTCAAGGCTTCATCTTCATCCGTGACATCGATATGGGGGTTTAGGATATTAGGGGTACCTTACTGGGGTCCTTATTATAATATAAAGGAATCCTACTATTTGGGATCTATATTCAGGGTCCCTTATTATCGTAAACTCCCATATCCGTATTGGGATCTTGGTTCATGGAACTCCCGTTGGGGGCTTGGCAAGGATGTACGCGCAGAGTTCTTGGGACATGAGTCGCCATCCTGGACTGGACCTCCTTAGTCTGCAATTTGGCATGGCATGTGTTGTCTACAACAGTCGTGTCTACGAGCCATCGGTCTGCGTACGCAAGATCCCCCATGCTGCATGTGCTCGAGGTGCACAGGAGGTAGGGTCAGACTACCTAACAACAATGTTCGTCGAGGCATGGCCGGCATGCCCAATGCCAACTCGTGCGGATCTCGTTACTGCAGATGGACATGTCACAGCTGCACTGCTTGGCTCACGGACATGGCTAGTTCTTGCAGCACTGCAGAATTTGCGCTGTGGTGAAACAAGCGGTGAGACTGCGTGCGGCGGAGTAATGCGTCATACGTGAAGCTCCAGAGACACCCATAACGATGGAGCAGAAACCACGAGCTCATTTGTGTCTCTGTGTGGGTATGAGTGTGTGCGCACGCGAGACCTCGCAATAATGTGAGCTGTCGTACTTCTTGACGAACCCGAAGCAGCATGGAAGTTGTAGTCTTTGCACAGAATTCTGAAGCAACAATTGCCGACAAGGTACTTCAAGTCCGATCAGCCCTCACATGGTATCTAGGGTTATCCCTCAAGTCTCCCAAGGCTATTCCTCTTCAACGGAGACTTTGTGGATCGAGGCGGTAGGGTCCGTGGCGATGTTAAACTTGAAAGATCTTGAAGGCACACTCTGCGCCGTTTGAGGTTTCCTCAGCCACCAGGTACTTACCAAGACAACGTGAGGCTTGAGCTGACATATAGTACCCCAAACTAAAATCTGCGAGAACGGAAACCCAAGAAGGCTCCATTCCAGGTGGTGACGGTTGGCGTTTCCCCTCCCCTCCCCCTCCTCAAGTTCGTATGGATCCAGTCCATGAACACCATCAGCAACACCCTGTTAGTCGTACTACCTCCGTTGAATGCATGTAATTCCTGAATCCAGGATCCTGGTCGGTGGAGGTCATCACCATGATCTACGCGATGAAGATGCAGAACCCGACTCTCGGTCCCAGATGTCAAAGCGGTCCTGTGGTGGCGACCTCCCCCCCCCTCCCCCCCTCCTCAAAGCAAAGAGCATAAAGAAGCCGGGAAGGGTCTGAAATGTCATCAAGGCTGAGGGAGTTGTCGGGCGTCTTGGGCTTCAAATTTTCGCGTCGGCTTCAACCCCAGGGCTTGTAGGGTGCAGAGGCCCAACCACCTCTGACAGCCGCATCTCCAAACTCCAGTGAGCAGATGCTGACATCGCATTCGCTTTGCAACGCTCACCCATGGCGCGCGCTTGGCAGACCCATACATCTCGGAAGCCTGCTTTTGTCCCCAGGAACGCCGTCTTCATGAACCGTGGCAACCACGAGATGTTGGAGGTGCCAAGCGATGAAGTTGAGTGCCACCGCTAGGACTTCAGCTTGCGGACGTATACGTATGTGTTTGCAGAACGTTCATTTTATGTCATCATTAATGCGGTGTATGAGTTTCGTATCACATCACCACTGCTGCTGCTGCTGCTGCTGCTGCTGCTGCTGCTGCTGCTGCTGCAGCTGCTAGCTTTTTCTACTACTACTACTACTACTACTGCTGCTGCTGCTGCTACTACTACTACTACTACTACTACTACTACTACTACTCCTCTCCTAGATCTAACAACTACAAACTGCTAAATACGACTGCTATTGCTAGAGCATTGTTCTTTGTACATATGTATACACAAAAGCACATAAATCTTTGTACAGATATACAACAGATGGAAAGGTTGTGGTAGCTGTCCAATCCGCAAGCCTTGGAGACGCTGCTACAGCCTTCAAGTCAGCCCTATCGTCTCCTTGAAAACGTCATGCTGCTTTGCCCTTGACTCTACAACCTAGACCCTAACCCTAAACCCTAAACCCTAATCCCAAGGGGAGTGTTGCAAACCCCCAGTAGACACTAGCGGATGGCCAGGCCAACATGATCTACGGCTTTGCCGGCGAGGCCGAAGGGCGCTGCAAGTTTCAGCATCTGTCTTCTGGTCCGGTTCGGTCTGGTCTGGTCTGCCTGTAGAAGTATATGTATTTACATGCATCTGTCTTTCAGGTTTTATGTGCTTAGACATACCGTGTTTATGCAACATGCATGCATGTATGCATGTATGTTTGTGTATATGAAATATGAAGTATGTATGGATATGTATGTAGAAATACACGTATATATACTCACATACTTTATACTATGTAAACATCCTTCTAAGCCCTAAAGGCTAAACCCTAAAACCGAAACCCTATGCAGGCCGTCTCGGAGGAAAGGTTCCCCCAATGCCTCCACGAATACAAAAGGTCAGAAATGCTGATGACAAGAAGCACGAAGACTTACAACAAGAAGCATACCATGATGCTGAGAATAAGAGCTCGGTTGACTTCAGAGAAGCAGGATTTGGGGCCTTCGGAGCCATGAAATTCTCAGGTTTGCTAGGGAAGGCCCTTGGGACGTTATATATATATATATATATATATGTAGACATATGTGTTTTTCCCTATTTGGGTTTATGAGGAATCATATTCAGGAATATTGAACCATCCTAGTTTAGAGTCAGAATTCGGAACTTGGTCTCTGCGTCATCGCTGCATTGCCAAGAGCCTGGTAAACCCCAAGCCTGACGTGGGGAGGTTGGCAGCAAGACCCCTAGAAACTCCCATAAGCCCTATAAGCCCTATAAACCCCAAACAAACTCTACAAGCCCTTTGTAAACCCTGTGTGAACCCTTTATGTGGGTGAAGGTTGGCAGCAAGTACGACCTCGACCTCTTCAACCTCTACTCGGAGTCCTTCCGAAATCTTCCGCTTCTGCACCTTGTGCGGAGCTTAGTGCGTGGAAGGGGGACTCTGAGAAACGGGGGTTAGGGTTTAGGGTTTAGGGTTTAGGGTAAGAATCAGAAGCCCAGGGTATATGCTTCAAATGTTTACAGGGTTGAGGGATCCGAACCCTGTTCCGAAAGCCCTGGACCCTGAGCAACTAGCTGGTTCTCCGTAGTGCATGACGAATGAGGGAATTAGAGCCTTATATAACCCTTTAAAAAGGGTATATCATTCCCTACTAGGAACCTGGGGGCTGAGCAAGAGCCAGGAGGGGGGTTTCCAAATTAGGGTACCTTATTTGGGGTCCGTGCTACAAGGGAATTCCACTATTGGGAGGGGTCTATCTTAGGGTCCCCTATTTTCGTAACCTGCCAGGAGTCTCCGATCCCAACACCCAAGAAAACACGCCAAAGACTTCCCGGACTCGCCACTTCATTCGAGGGTTTAGGGGTTTGAGGTTTAGGGATGTTTAGAGTTTAGGGTTTAGGGTTTAGGGTTTAGGGGATGGTTGTTCCCAAACCTCCCAACCCCAACGAAAATCCCCCACGCCCTGAAAGTACCCCCAAACCCCTTCAAACCCCAAACCCTGAAACCCTGAAGCTTCTACTGGAATATTGGTCATAATAGGAATACTAGTACTACCAACAATACTGAAAAGAATATAACAATTGTACTAAGAACAACAATAGTCATAATATTCACATAACAATATCAATAGCAAGACTACGAATAATTTTTATAAGAATATAAAGAAGAGTATTAATTGGGATGCTTCAAGCCTTGTACTAAACGTCCTTCATAGAGATTCTAATAGGGTGGTACTGGTAGTATAAGGGGGAACATCCCAGTGTACTTATCATTGAAGTAGGTTTTATATTCCATGTATCCCCAATGGGTCACCCAAAATATACACTCGGAACCTTATATACACTCACCAATAACCAATATCAGTAATATAAACCCTGCAGGATTCCCCGATAATAAGGCCCCAATCAGGTACCCCTAATTTCGGAAACCTCCATAACAATATAGAAAAAGAGTACTCATCAGAATCATTAATTTTGCCAAAAATATAAAGCATAGTAATCAACAATAAGCATCAATCATATGTTTAAGAATAAATACAAAACAGCTTACTAATCACAACAGAATTCAAGATCCCAATCTGAATCCTGATTTTCCTCATGATATTGCTAAGAATAGAAAAAATAGTACCCAAAAATCACAAATCTTGCGAGCTTGAGGCGAACAACCAGATCTTGGTCGTCCATGCTGGCATCCCGGGTCCTCGGCCGCGAGTGTGGCTGCCGGGCCAGACCCACGACCCCGAGGAGACGGCTGAGGGCCTTTTTTTTTTGATAGGGTTTAGGGTTTAGGGCTTGGGGTTTAGGGTTGAGGGTTTAGGGTTTGGGGTTTAGGGTTTGGGGCTTGGGGTTTGGGGTTTGGGGTTTAGGGTTTGGGGTTTGGGGTTTGGGGTTTGATCTGGGGGGTTCCGGAAAAAGGCCGTTTGTTGTGTACATTGGCGGATCACTATTTTGGGGAAAGACCCATATGCCATATGGTTCAGGGTTCTTGGGCCTCGGGATTTCTAGGGTTCATATAGGTTTATTTAGGGTTTAGGGCTTAGGATTTACAACGTATAACAAAGGCTTCAGAAGGGTTGAAGAGGTCGACTTCAAAGACTGCGCTGAAGAGTTCGGGCATGGCCTTCAGATAGCAACGGCCCGCCCGGTCTGCAAAGACTCAGAACCCCTTGGGCGTAATATAGGGGTCGGAATAATTGCTAATAACAATCCCCTAGAATAAACCCCCAAAACCCTATTCTAATCATTAAGGCCCCTATATTAGGCACAAGGTTGCACTGTTGGTGGGCTCCGGGTATGTGACGCATGCCCTTCCTGGACATGTTCAGCGGAGTTGAGCAGTCCTTCACGAGCTATGAGTGGGTTCGAATTTGGGAGTTCGCTAATTACCAAATCTGAAAAAACCTTCTGTACCTAAATCAAGGTCCCAGCCTAAAGGCCCCCAGCTCATCCTAAACCCTAAACCCTAAACCCTAAACCCTAAACCCTAAACCCTAAGCCCGCTGGAGGATGCCGTGCCCGTGAACCTGAAGGCGTGCACCCTGGCGGAGATCGCCACGGTTGACCGCTGCTTGCCTCAGCCGATCGGGGCTTTACGATACTAGGGTTTAGGGTTTAGGGTTTAGGGTTTAGGGTTTAGGTTTAGGGTTTCGGGTTTGGTGTTTAGGGTTCAGGTTCAGGGTTCAGGGTTTAGGGTTTAGGGTCCTGATTATAAGGGAATCCTACTATTTGGGGTCTATGTTAGGGGCCCCTTGTTTTCGTAAACTGCCAGATAGGGATCCCACCAGCGGGGCGGTCGTGAAGGTAGGTTGATGGGGTTTAGGGGTTGGGGGTCTTAGGTGTCGCTCAGGATGTGCAAAGGTTGGACGACTGTGCTAATGGAGTTCACCGATGTTTTTCTTTTTCATGGCAGAGATTCAGGGTGCTGCAGGACGGCGTAGGAAGAAGCACCAGCAACCAGAGGAAGCTAAGATGAAGCACATACTCAGATCTAGCTCGGCGTGTTTAGGCCCAGAGTAGTCGGAATTGTTTGGCTCCTGCACTTTACACCCTGCGAGTAAGCCACCTCCAGTGTACGTGTACCGTATTCCGACATCGGGCTGGAAACTTGGGGTCTGCATGGGGGTTCCGGGAACTGAGCTCACCCAGGCTACACGGAGCTGACTCCTAACTCCTACAAGGCTGGACCACGGGGAGTTGGGGTGAAGGGCATCTAACCGCCCTGATTACCGTCAATTAATCTTGGTTGCCGGTAGTCGTCACCATTCTGGCAGTTGGCACTGGCGCTGCTATCAATCATCGCGAATCGTATCTGAGCCCTTCGTCCTTCCCAGCCCCTTGACTTAGATGAGGCTTGAGCACTGCGCATCTTCCTGAATCAGCAAAGCAGAACATCCACCGGCCAAGCTCCCTTCCCCCCCATTGGTTACTTCTGTACCCTAAACCCTAAGCCCTAAACCCTAAACCCTAAACCCTAAACCCTGAACCCTGAACCCTGAACCCTGAACCCTGAACCCTGAACCCTGAACCCTGAACCCTACACCGTGCAGGATGCTGTGGATGATGCCCCTAGGCAGGAGGAGAAGTGGGAAACCGACACGCGCATGATCATCGACTTCCTGTGGCTCTGCTTCAACGGGCTCCTCAAGTGGGGAGCACATGAAGCCTGAAATGGTTTAGGGTTTAAGGTTTAGGGTTTAGGGTTTAGGGTTTATGGTTTAGGGTTTAGGGGCCTTTGTACCCCCCTAATACCCCCCGCCTCAAGTGGGGAGCACATGGACCCTTATAGGGCGGGTTTAGAGTTTGTGCTTCATACTACCTTATAATGGGAGTTATAGTTTTAGTAGGGTATATCCTTAAGTGTGGAGTACATGAACCCTGAAAGGGTTTAGAGTTTATGCTTCATAGTACCTACCTTCTCATAGGAATTATAGTCCCCAGCTTGTAGGGATTCCGGGGCTCAGAGAGTTCGTTCCTTCGGGCTCCCACACTCCTCCCGGAAGGGGTTTCGAGCCTGACATGGCGAACCATGGATGCTCTAAACATGTTGGTCTTTGAGCCCTAAACCCTAAATCTCCCTAAACCCTAAACATCCCTAAACCCTAAACCCTAAAGCTTCTATGAGCCCTGTCATCAACACGCGATATCGAAAAGCAGAGGCTGCAAGAAGAGACATCTATGCGACCACTTTTACTGGCTGGCTCTCAGTGGGGAATGAGGGAATGAGGTACCCTATATAATCCCTTAAGGGGTAGACATAGGGCCCCAATTCCCTCATTCCCTACTAAGAACCAGGGGTTTAAGCATAGTCATGCTTGCGAGCCCCTACCAGACTTGGAGTTTAGCATTTTGGGATAGGGCTGGTCTTCCGTTTCCGATTCAAATTGCGAACCCTAAACCCTGAACCTTAACCCTTGAACCCTAAATCCTGAACCGTGAACCCTAAACCATAACCCTAACCTTTAAACCCGAAACTGCAGCAAGGTGGTCTGACCCCCGCGGCGGAGCCGGCTATGGCCCTTCCTACCGCAAGAGCCGCGGCGTCTTCATGTTCGGCCCAGATGCCACCCGGCGGAGTTCAGCAAGTTTCGTGCCTCAAAGATCCCTGATAATATAGGGCCTAGTTACTGAATTAGAGTCGGTATTCGGGGTCGTTGCGGGGGGTCGTTCACATGAAGTCAGGGATTATATCCGGGCTAGTCTTGGCATCTATGTTGGCTCCTGATTGACCCATCCTTTTCTTCTCGCACGCAGGCAACTCAGCGACGCTGAGTTGACATTATTATCATACAAGTGAGTGAAACGATACGCGTGATTATAATGTGTGAACAAATGAACGACAGGAAATACTAATAATAGTGCTAATTTACTGTAAGAAGATGAACGAATGAGACGGCTCTAAACAAATGTAGGTCATGAGACGGCTCTCCAACAATATAGGGCGTTTCAAAAGGTTGGATGTGGGCCTTTTTGCTGCTCCCAAGCAATGGTTTCCCCCAACCATGTTTCGAGCCCCTGCCATCAACCAGACCTGAATTTTTCTGAAATCCAGGTGGGCCTGCAAGCACTTCAAAAACATTATGAGGCAGCTGCCAAAAAATATATGGCATTTCAAAAGTATCTTCCAGATTAAAAACCCTGACCCGCGCAATTTAGCACTCAACGTCACCCCCTCTCCTCAGCAAATTCTGCTCGAAATGACGATCGCCCTACACCTGAGGACTCAACCCTTCATGGTACCCTTTAATGAGCCCTCCCCAAAAACGGCCCTGAACAACAATCGCGGCCCCGTTAAGGTCTCGGAGCAGTTTATCCGAGAGAACAACTTGAAGATGGTGATCCGCTCGCACGAGGCCGCCAGGGGTGTACATGGGGTGTATTTCAGCTTCAGGGAATCTATACGGTTTAGGGCTAATCGGGATGTTCCCTTTCGGGCCCATATAGGGCATTTAAGGGTTGCGATAGCTATGGAGAGGCCTTATAAGGACTTCAGGATCGGCTCACGTTCGGGACCTGGGTTTCGGGCTTTCGGATACCTCCCAGGAATCCACCTGAAAACTTAGCCAAACCCTCCGCCCTAAATCCTCTCCATCCTCTGCTCTAACTCGTACACCCGAAGCCTTCTCTGTGAGGTCAAGGCAGATGGCTACCTGCAGGACCTTCCCAGAGAGGTTAGTGGTGACTCCAAAGGCTCTTACAATACTTCAACACGCACAGAGGCACGCGCACGCACGATAGAGAGAGAGAGAGAGATAGATGGAGGGATGTGTATATTTATGTATACATTACGCTACACTACATTGTGTCCACAAGCTACATACCTTCTATATAATGCAAACATTACATATGCTTCACGTGACTACACAGATGCTCCGAAATAATAGTCGTGTATTCACGAAAAGTGCCTGTTTTTACGTATATACACATATACATACATTTCATCTTTGATTTGCATTTACGTATTTAGTTTCTCGTAGATTGTGCTATTTGATATATATATATATGTATGTATCTATTGAGACAGAGATGTGAAATGTCTTTCGATGCCCAGGCAGGGTTTGGCTGGGCTTGGGATGCATTGTTATCAGAGTTGTCGGGGGGAGAGAGGCTACAGGGTGTAGGAACTGCGGCATCGCCCATACTCTTCCGTCATGTCCTGTTCTCGTCAATTGTGTTCCAGTGCAAAACTAACTTCAGTCGTTTTCCATTTTTGTCATCTATCCTCTACCAACTTTTCTACACTCTCCTGCTCTTGTCTCTTCCGTTCATTTGTTTTCCCCACCTTCTGCAGATCGGCGGGCAACGAATTTAATGTAGGGGTCGGATTATTTGCTAATCTTATTCCCTTATGCTCCCTGTACACTTATACTACAATAACCCCCCCCCCCCCCCCCAAAAAAAAAAAAAAAAAAAGAAAACTCAAATAAAAGGAAAGAGAAAAACCTGTTCTAAATGTTAAGGCCCCTACATTACCCTCTGAGCCGGAAGCGCCTCATGGGCTCACAGGCCGGATTCCAGGCTCGTTTTCTTTTTTTGGTTCCAGCGACTCCATGTCCGGAGTACAAATTACCCGCAATCCATGTGAAAACGTGTTTTTTTTTTTTTTTTTTTTGGGGGGGGGGGGGGGGGGGTGGTGGGGGGGGGTGGCAGTCTGAAAGTAGTCGAACTACACATGGACCCTCCGGGCGGTAAAACCCCCTCCCCTAAACCCTAAACCCTATTCCCTGCTGCCTGAGTTGGCGGTAGAAGTTACTGCCAAGTCCTCTGAGGCCCCGTCAAAAATGGTACAGCAAAAAATCATCCTTGCTATGGGAACCTGCCCCCCCCCCCCCAAAAAAAAAAAAAAAAAAAGAATAAACATAAATAAAGACAAACGAAATGAAGCAATAATAATAATCATAATCACGCAATAATAATAATCGCAAAAGAAAAGGTACCCTGAAACTACCCCAACATACCATACTCCTTGCAACCCTAGCTATCCGAAACCTCGCAAGTGTGGCAGGACCATCCTTCGCTGATGCAACTCGGCTACCAGGTTCGAATGCTTTGCTTAGGTGTGCTTTTCAAGCCCTGTGAAAAAACAGATTCCGAAGTCTTCTTAAACGTTAGGGTTTGGGGTTTATAGAGGTTTAGGTCGATCCACCCGACATACACAAGGGCATGGCATCTCCAAAAGCAAGAGCGAAATCAAGTCAGAAGGTAAAATATAAGTATAAGAATATAGAATTTCAACGTATAAGAATAGAAGGCAGATGTAGATGTTCAAGGAGTGTGTTCAGCGCGCCGAACTACCTGGACACCGGCGGCAACAAGGCGGCTTCTCCTTGTGATCGGATGCAGCACTTGTATCTGATTTAGGGTTTAGGGATTAGGGTTTAGGGTTTAGGGAGCTTCTGGCTGGGTGATCGGATGCAGTTCTTATAGCTATGATTGGAGCTTCTGGCCGGGTATGTGCTTCAGCATGACACCCTAAACCCTAAACCCTAAACCCTAAACCCTAAACCCTGAACCCTGAACCCTGAACCCTGAACCCTGAACCCTGAGCCTCTTGCCAGGGCGCGTTCCTGCAGCTCACTCCGGGCCCGGGTGGAGACCTTCAGGCTTCAATGGGGGGGGGTGACTACTTGTTGGTGTTGAGGGGGCAGCCTTTATCCTCAGTACCTATAGGTACTGCTGAAACAGGTTAGGAACCCGCCCCCTCTTTCCCACCACATCCCCTCCCCCCCAAGAAGCTGCGATTGGGCAGAGGTGATGAGGGTAGCACAGGCTTTCGGCTTTCTGTTCAGAGTACAAGAGTATGATCTCTGATCCTCGCAAGCTCCCCAAGTAAGGGGACAGCAGGGGCTGAGGGGAAGAGTTGTCTGGCACATGAGGATTTCAGATTCGAGCTCGGATTCTTTTGTAGGTCTTCTAGTGGGGTTTAGGCTGGGTCGGAAACCAAAACTTCGGGATTCGGATGTTTCGACCCTCAGCCCTAGGGTTTTGTGGTGATCTTTGCGGCGCCAACCTTGTTTTTTCTCCCGTCCCATCGATTGGACCAGTACGCCCGCCAGCCCAGTGGGGGGTCTCAGGGTTCAGGGTTGAGGATTTAGGAAATGCATTTTCGGGAGCTCAGTGTGTGTTCCAGGTAAAAAGCTGCCCCCAAATCGGGTTGCCACCTGGTTAGGCACCTCCTCAGCATTAAGCCGTCCCATCCGTGACCATTGTGGTCGTAGGCCCGCCAAGCAATATGCGCAGGTCACGCCGACCAGCTACACGGCTGTGCCGCATCCGGACTTGCCACCGATGTACCATCAGGTCAGGGAGCACAGCCCTTGTCACCCGTAAATCTGAACCTTAACCCCCCCCCCCCCCCAAAGCGCCAAGAACATGGCATAAGAATGATTCAGAATGTACTCTTCTGGTTTGGCTGTTTGGCCTTATCGGTCTCGCAAGGCTACTCTGGGGTCGTGGACTGGCCCTTCTTGCAATTTCGCATGAGGTTTGGTATGTACTACCCTACCTCCGCCCCCCTAGTTACCCACTAAGAACCAGTAAGTTTCACAAGTTGTGACTGATCTGCCTGTGAGAACTACATCGCGGAGAACCACCCTCATCTCACGCGGCAGATGAGGAAGAAGCAGGCGCCAGCTCCGACCGAAGGGCCTGAGCTTTGGGAGGTAGTGTGAACCTTGGCTGTCGTGTTACGGCGATTGCTGATTCCTGCAACCCCCGCACTTGCTCGAGATTGCCCACTTCAGGGTGTTCTTCGGCGCTGGAAACTCTTTTTGGCAGTCGTAACCCGGAGGCTTCGCATGTTGTAGCCCATCGACCATGACATCGTAGCAGCTCCAACTGCCTACGACCGTGGGCTACGCCTACGTATTCTCTCACCCTCGCTCATCGGTCGGCGCGCAGCAACTTCGTACAGCAAGCTTGGCATCCATGCCACCCAAAGCCATGATATTGCATTTTTCACACACCTGCCCCTTCCCTTGCGGCTTTGCCAGTGTTCCATTGTGGGTGCCGTCATGGCTTATGCAGCTTGAGCTAGTGCTTCAACATTTGAGCATCTTTCATGCACTGTATACGTGCATCTCTAGCTCGCTATCCATATATATATATATATATATATATGTATGTATATGTATATGTGTTTTTACATCTACACATATATATATATGTATATATATATATATATATTTATATTTATTTGTTTATGGATGGATATACGTCGGGTCGTACTTCTGGATGCCCTTACCCCTAAATTCGTTCATTGGCTCTCTTGCAGGTGGCCCAAGCAGATGACTTCGGCGACAGCGACTTCGCCGGCTATCAGGCAATCTGGGTTTTTTTTCTCAAATCAGGGCCAATCAGGGTGTAGGGTTCAGGGTGAGGGGGAGGGTGAGGGGGGGGGGGGGGGGGGGTATTCTTGTGAAGCTCTCAATAATCCGACGTTCAATGAGCCTTGGCTTGGGGCCCGGACATAGGGTTTAGGGTTTAGGGTTTAGGGTTTAGGGTTTAGGGTTTAGGGTTTAGGGTTTAGGGTTGAGGGTTTCTTCAGGATTCCGTCTTTCTTTAGCAGCAGAGCCTGGCAGGGCCCCGACGAGTGGGAGGAGGTGGATGCCGGCGCCAGCCTGAACGCAAGGTAGGCCGCTAAGGATGATGAGATTATTCAAAGAACAATTTGGGTTTAGGGTTTACGGTTTAGGGTTTAGGGTTTAGGGCTACTATAGGGGCCTGATTATTATAGTTTTTTTGTAAAGGGACCCTAAGGGAATACTGTCAGTATTTATTCCGACCCCTAGATTCTAGAGTTTAGGGCTTAGGCTTAAATGACCTCGGCAGCCCGTATCTTCCCACCTGCACAAGTGGGACTAGAGAGCAGAGAAACTTCGAGTCAAGACCAACATTCGAAGCCCATCGGCTACGCTACAGCTTGAGCTTCATAACCCGAGACCTTAAACCCCTGGATGCCCAGCTCAAGGCACTGCAACCGGAAACCAACTAGCCAAGCAGTCAGATGCGAATGTCAGAGAAAGTTTTCCATGGATGGCTGGGTCAGCTTTTGCAGTTGTTATGAAGCACTGGGGGCTACTTGAGCACCAAGCAAGGCATGCGCAGGTACTCAAGAGTCCAGGAGTGTGCTAGGCCCAGCCACAAAGCGTCCTGCAGATCCTCCCCCAATGTGGGACGGTCCCTTCTTTCCGGTCTCCACTTTTCCGAAGCTCCATGGTTGACGCGCGCAGTCACTTAGCTCCGCTGTTTGGAGAGGAGTCCCAAGCGAGAGGTGTCGAAAAGTCCCCCGAAATCTCCTGAGGATGCAATGGGAGCCTTCGAATGACCTGTGGCTTGGGATGTTCCCCCTTATACCAACTGTCCTTAATAGGGATGAACGTATAGGGGGGTACTCTAGTCCCTATTCAGGACTGCTACTACAGGGGGAACATCCCCTTCAGCAAAGATGTCGGCATGAGCTATACGCGTGCGCGCCACTGCCCAGGGTCCTGCAGCACACAGCTCAAACGATGCAATCTGCAAAGTTGTTGGAGACAACATAGGAGCTGCCACGCCTTCTACCGCAGTTGATACTGTAGAAAGGGTTCAAAGTGGCAGCTGGTTCATGGAGGGAGACTCTGCGCATCTGAGCCCATAGCCTGCCTGTGCTGCATTTGCCATCGCGGCAGTCGGCCATAGCTCGGGCGATGTAGATCGAAGGAGGCCTGCTGGATGCTGTCTTGACCAGTTCTCTTGCGATCAGTCAATCTTTGGTTACTATAGACTCTAAGGCACAAAAAATACTTTTCGCCAGGGTTCCAAGTTCAGCATAGTGGTGGCGACCCTAAACCCCAAACCCGATAGACCCAAAACCCTGACTTCATGTTCCTGTGGGCACTTGGCATGCTTTTGCGAGCTCGAGGACTTCTTTGGGCATCGCATGGCCGATGTGGCGAAGTTGCGGGAGGCAGCCCTTCGCGAGGCGCGTGAGGGCTTTCTGGCTAAAAAGGGCTAGTGTAGGGTTCCCTAGGCCCCATAAACCTTACAACCCTAAACCCTAAACCCTAAACCTTAACCCTAAACCCTAAACGTTATATTCATCTGACAGGCCCTGAGAGCTGAAGGGTCCCGTGTACAGGTTTATACAATGGAGGCTCCGAAGTGTCAGTCTTATAATCTGAATCTTATAGCCGAACATAGCCTAACCTTGGACCCAAAACCCTTGTGAGCCCTAAACCCCATTATGAAGCTGAAGCCCCTAGAGCCCTACTACATTCTTTTCTTGTGCGCGTTGCAGCTTTGCGGAACGGCTCAAGGGATTTATCAGCCCAAGGTTTGGGGCGGGCGGGGGAAGTTCCCCTTAATTGCAGCAAGCTCCTATCTCCCCTATTTTCGAGTCCCTCATGAACAGGATTCCCAAAAGGGATCCTACACTGGAACAACCCCCAAATTTCCGACCAGATGGGGTCGCATGGAGCTGTGAGCTGCGTCTCCAACGCCCTTCCATGCACTTCCAGGTTGGCCTTGGCCCAGGGCCTTGGACCCGCCGGACATGCTTTGCTGTGACTTACTGCGGGTTAGCAGGGAATGGGGGGAATTAGGGGTCCTCTATATATACCCTTTAAGGGATTATATCGGGTACCTCATTCCCCTTATTTTCTGCCAACCAAGAGTAAGGTGAGGGCCTATGCTGGGTCCAAGAAGCTTCCGCCTCCGGCAGAGAGATGGGAGCAGATGCTGCGTTTGTGGAGGAGGCATCCAAGCTATCCGGCGCCCTCGGCAGACTGTCTGGCCCTGCACAATGCCTTCAAACTGGGAAATCTCCAGGAATGCGCTAACATCTACGACAAGCTCCGTGCAGACACACCAGGTGCAGTACATCCGGGCGTCCTGGTGCCCTAGCTGCGCCATTATGGAGCCCTTGCAGGGTGACAATCATTTGGGGAACTGCCCCTTCTACTTCGCATGGCACTCGCTCATAGTTGCAAAGGGCCGCTTGCAGTACGACCATGGCTGTTGCATGTCTCAACCCGGGAACCCCCAAAAGCGTGATCATAGCGGTGGCTCCTGAGCTAAGGTGCTTGGTCTCAGATGTTTTGGTGAGCTGCGGCAGAAAGAAAGGGTCCAAGAGATCTGGTCCGAAACGGAACCTTGGACTTGCTAAGCTATCTTAGAGTTTATAGGGGTTTAGGGTTTATAGGGTTTAGGGTTCAGGGCTTCTTTGCTAGGTTTCAGGGTTTGGGTTTCACATGGTTTCTCTGCGTTGTCCCTGAGCTGATTTTGCAGACAACGTGGCACGCTTTATGTGACGCGACGGGCTCAGGACAGCAGGTAGTACAGCTTTCAGGCCGCAAAAAACAGGCAGAGCGAAAGGCGGGAAAATGTACCAGAATGTGATAAGCAGGCCAGACGGGCTCAGCCGGGCAACTGTGCCGGAATGTTGCGTCGATAAGCAGGTCAAACCGCCAGGAAGGCTCAGGGAGGCAACTATGCCGGACATGCCAGACACGCGGGCCACTGTACCGAAACATTGCCATAGCAGGCGAGCCCAGGAGGCTCAGGTGGCCAATTGTGCCTACAGGTTGCTTGCGCAAGCAGGTTGAGGACAGGTGTTGCCTTGAACAGGCCAGGGATGCTGTGTTTGGCTGCACACGCCCAATCACTGTCACACTATGTAAAGGGTCGAGAGGGCCTTCGACTCTGACTACAGGTGAGGTTTCACTGTTGGCGGCACTGGTCGGCCTCGCAGAGCTTGGAGGTCGTAAGTTCTGCAGGTTTTGTGACAGCGAAGTTCTTCTGTAGGTTTCTACGATAGCAGGAAGCACTAAGGCCTTGCAACTCCCTCTGCAGACCATCTTCCTTGACCCCACCAAACTCACAACATCAAAACCTCAAGAAACTTCTTATGCTCGACAATGCCTTAACTTCCTCCACCGCAACAGAGTTGGACCAAACGGTGCGTTGCCCAAGAAACCCTAGAATATTGTGCTCAAACCTGATGGGAAAACAGCCGCAAAGTCCTCCCGTCCAACACCGCAACCCCTCTACTTCCTGCAGCTGAGTGAGGGACTGCGTAGGGATGTTCGAAGTGGATTCTAGTGACCCAAAACGGCTCAAGTGCCCAGGCGGAGCGCGATCTCCGAGACAACTACTTGTGCAGGGCCATGCTCGATGCCCTGGCAGACCTGGGCGACGTGGAGGGCGCGGCGCGGCTGGTCGATCTCATGCTCGAGGAGAATCAGGCTGGGCTGACTACTATTTGAGAACCCCTAAAAGTGTGTGTGTGTGTGTGTGTGTGTGTGGTCGACCAGGGTGCGCTCGGCCTTGTTACAACGCAGCAGCCCCTCCAGCGCGAAGGCTTAAAGGGCCAACCGCGGGCCCCTCATCCATGCGTGTTTGCATCACCCAGATCTCCACGGGCCCGCCCCCCCAAACCAGAAAGAGCAAGATACGCTCAATCCGGCAAGGGTTGGATAGAACACTTGGCAAGACAGCCCGCATCAACGATCCAAAGCTCTTCTCATGGCGATCCCTCGCCAGGATACTAAGCAAGGGATGCAAGCACGGAGACAGGGCAATCTAGTTACTCTAGGGTCCACCACGCTCACGCACATCACGCACCGGCAGCACGTTAGGGGCCACCTCCACCAAATGGCACAAGGAGCCATTCCCCTCAAGCTGCACACTTCACTGACAATCAATATGCCCTTGGCGTATGGGTGAGCACCCAAAACTTTAGGTGCCCCCCTGGACAGAAGGGTTGAGAACCCCTAAAAGAATAAGCAAAAAAATGATAATCCCTATATTCCCCCTTAAACGGAAGAATACTTTATAGTTTTGGGGGGGGCTCTTAAGCAATTAGTAGGCTGATGAAGCGCAGCCAAGCTCCTGACTTCCTCAAGCCACCCGTTTGAACCCGTATGTCGGAAGCCCCCCTTTTTGTAAACCTCTTAGAAGCCCCCTTGCTAAACCCCTTCAGCCCTGCCGTAATCCACCCTGTATAAACCCCATATAAACCCTAAACTGGCCCTAAACCCCAAACCCTATTGCGAGATCCTACGCCCTAAGCCCTAGTCCTAATCCCTAAACCCTAAACCCTAAACCCTAAATCCGAATCCCTCAGGACGTTGATGAGTTTGTCTTGGGCTCTGCCATCGATGCCTGCAAGAATCGTGAGCCCCCGAGCCCTGCTGCGGCTCGATGCTTCTTCCAGGTGCTCGTGTATGAGCCACCGGGCCTTTTCATTTTTGGGGGTTTAGGGTTCTGGTTTAGGGTGTTGGTTTAGGGTTTAGGGTTTAGGGTTTTGATTATTTTGGGGGGTTTAGGGTTTTGGTTTAGGGTGTTGGTTTAGGGTTTAGGGCGTTTAGGGCGTTTAGGGGCTAGGGCCCAGAGCTTGGAGGGTTGTGGGTTTTCAGCATAGCAACACACCAACACACCAACACCAAAAAGCACATACCAACACGTACCAACACATGCCAACACATACCAACATGTACCAAAACATACCAACATAACAACACATACCAACACATACCAACGCATACCAACGCATACCATCACATACCATCACATACCAACACACACATTATATATATATATATATACATACCACATACCAGCACATACCAACCCATACCAACACCAACACATACCAACACACATATACCACATACCAACACACACACACACACACACACACACACACACACAGAGACAGCGTGATCGAGAGAGACACCCGCAGAGCCGCAGAGTGTGAGGAGAGACGTGCATCCTGGCATCGGTGCCTTCACAAGCCTTGTGGCAGCCCACCGACGAGCGCCCGTTTCGCACCTGACAGCGCTCTACCGGCAGGTGAGCTTCACAGGGTTGAGGGTCTTAGGGTTTAGGGTTACCTTAAGGGTAGTTTCATGGGCCCTGAATATGTTCCCTAACCTCCTTCAAGGGGTTCTGATGTAACTCCCCTTAGAGGTTCGTATTTGTTGTGAGAGGTTGGTTTGCACCTGCTAGTCATCTCATCCTGGTCGTCGGGAGTCAAAAGAGAAACCCTGCAGATGACTCAAGAATTTCGAGTGCTGCCGAACCTGATTTTTGCGGAGACGTACCTTGGCTGCGTGCTGCTCCTGGGTGACAAGTTCGAGACCGTCCGCAGCGTGGAGGAGGCGGATCTTCCCCAAGACCCTGGAAAATTCTAAGCCTGCGGTTCATGAGGAGCGTAGAAGGATCCCGATTTCTCAGTCCTCTCTTCTGTTGTCGTACCAGATTTCGTACCTACTTAACTGTGCTCCTGGGCTTGCAAAATAAGCCGAGCTCACCTCATCCTAGCCTTTTCAGGCCAAGACCTGAAAGGCCGCACCCGAACAAGTACTTGTCTTGCTAAGATTTGGGGCTCGGATTGTGTTTAGGTGTGTGTTTGTCAGTGTTTGGGTAATTTTGAATGTCTTCTTTGAGTGACAGCCTTTTGTGGGACCTGCTAGGTAGGGGATCGTCTTGCTGGGGCATCTGCGCAGCATTCAGTGAGTGACCTGGGGGGGGGGGGTTCACGAGGTGCTTCTCCATGCCCAAGCTTTAGGGTGTTCAGGGCCTTTAGGGTTTAGGGTTTAGGGTTTGGGGTTCAGGGTTTAGGGTTTAGGGTGTCCTAAACCTGAAGGGTTCAGGGATTTAGGGGTGTAATGAGTTGAAGTAAGGAGCCGGGCCATGGGGTGTTCGGATCGGAGTCTGCAAGAGGACCCTGGCACCTCGAACCCACTGGAGAATGTCATCTGCGCGGTTTTGGGTTTAAGGCTATGGGGTGCCCTTTTTGTGGGGTGCCAATTAGAGGGGTGATAGCATGTTGGGGTATATCGGGGCCGGTATCCCTATGCTGGGGAATGCCTACACGAAGCCGGCTCCCCGACGCAGCACATAAGTTCAGTGGCAACCCATTTATATGTCCTAAAGCTGTGGAGCCCTTCAGCCTTCTTTCGACATGCTGCAGTCTCGCTCACGCTCCGCAGGCGGTTCAAGGCTCTCCCACAGAACAACCTCAACCATGCACCTTACTCCCTCCTATGCGCAGCATCCCAACCCGAAGCCCTGAATAGGTCTAAAGCCGGCAGGTCTTCGCAACTAAACCCTAATTAAACTCCATAAACCCAATCCTGCAACCCCAAAGACCCTACCAAAGCCTGTAATCCCCAAAAATCCTGAGAACCAGGTCAGCGAGATCCGCTTGCAAGCCGCCCGCGTCGCCCTCCGCCAGTTCCGTGGAGTCGGCCTGCCACTGTCCAGGCTTTGCAAGATGATCGAGAAGTACCTGTCCAAGGTTCGACAGGCAGAGGTGTCGCGAGAAAAATATGGTGTGGGGCGTCATGAAAGCGTGTTTCGTAAATCCAACATGTTGGTGACAGAGTTGAACGATCTCGGAGAAATATTGATGTTATTGAGGCTGCGATGCTTTTTGAGAACGCACTAGGCACATGTTTTTTGTCTGTTTGGGCTTCCTTTTTGTACCTGGTGCGGAAACAACTTGTTCCTCGTTCTCTAAGAAGCTACCACGTGCCAGCGCGGTCCTTAAAGCCCAAACCCCAAACCTCCAGGCCTCAGAAAACCCTAGAGAACTTGTTGACTCGTCAGATCTCTATAGTCCTCCCGCTGCCCCCTCAGAAAACCTCACTACCAAGTAGCGCTAGGGATTCGAGCCGACTTGAGGAAGGCAGCAAGGTTCTCTGAGCAACGTGCAGGCTGTCACATCTTATGAGAGCAGGGTGGTGCAAGCAGAAGCACCTTCCGGGCAAAAGTCTGTCTAGTGCAGCGCCTCCTAGACTAGGACGCAGACTGGGCCCTTACTCTTCTAAACCCTAGTAAGCAACAAAGTGTACTGTTTTTATTCCCAGGTAAGCCTGGGACCCAGTAGGTTCAGTAGAGGCATGGCCCTTGCCGACTGATCACCTAACTGTCAGAGGAGACCTTAGGAAAATTGGCATTCCAATAGGGCCCAAGGGTCAGCGCATGACCCGCTCTTAAAGGGTAGTTACATGGGGCCCTTAACATGGTCCCTAACCGTCCTAACCTCCTTTACAGGGTTCTGATGTATGGGCCCTTAAGGGACCATGCAACCCTAAACCCTGAACCCTCAACCCCAATCTCGGAGGTGATTTGGCGTCTCGGGGGCTCTGCTCGCCGCCTGGAGCGCGCATTCAGCGGACCGCCTGAAGCCAAGCCTCTGTCGGAAGAGCATTCGGGGTTTAGGGTTTAGGGTTTGGGGTTTCCAACAATGGGGGGGGGGGCGGGGGGGCGGGGTACCCTTTTTGGGGTGGTCCCTTGAAGGGGACTCTATTCTGTTTGAGGCATAAAGAGGGTACCCCTATTTCTTGAAAAAACACCCATGTCTGTGATCACAAGCTGTTGGGTTGGTGTCTACTTGAGCTTAGCACCGTCCACACACATTCGCCGCTCACTGAACCTAATCAGGGTAGTTCGGTTCCCCTCCGGCCGAAAAAAAGGTCAGGCAAGTACCCATGAGGCAGCTTTCTCCTTTAAGACGGCTCACTAGGGTTTAAGCACTTTTGGATATAGAGCTCAATAGGATTCAGCATGTTCTCGTGGAGCTTTTAGGGAGGGCACCCTCATCTCAGCTCAAGGGGTGGGGGGTTCCTTTTAAAGGATTATATAGTATTTTGGGGTATATAGGGGGTACCCCTATTTAATTTTCGGAAATCCCAATGAGGGTTTCAGAATCCGAGGCGCCGAGGACTTGTCTCTCCCGCAGACTTTGAGCAGGGCCTTCGCCAGTCGGATGCCGAGATGCTTTACACCCTAGACTTCTCCTATAACTAAGGCTCCAAACAGCCCATGGCAGGTAGTATTTACAGATTTTAGACACCAATGTAGGCATTATTCGTCTGCTTGGAGCCCTAGGGTATGGCTTAGGGTTGAGGATGTAGAACCACCCAGAGAGCCCGTTAATCAAGTTGAGCAAGCTAGAAGTTCCAAGAATGGTCAGAGTTGATTCGACAAGCGGAGGGAGGCTGATTCACGCAGCCTGCCGTCACCTGCCTATGCAAGGGCCTGTGGTCCCACGCACTTGCCCTGTTGCAAGACCACAACCAAGTCCAAGAAACCCCGCCCCCGGTCCCCACCTCTGAAACCATACTAAGTCTTCGACTTCCCATAAGGCAAGCTAAATCATCATCCAGGAGCCTAGGTACCTTTTAATCCTACACATTGACCATTCATGAGCTACACAACATACCCATCTTGAGTACATGGGCCCAAGTTGGCTAGAGGCTGGGCCTGAGTGCCACTGATCTTCAAGGCCTCAGCGACTGCCGACAAGCGGCTTAGGGTTGAGGGACTTCAGGAGCTTGGGCCCTTATACTAACAGCCCTTAATAGGGATTATAGTCCCCCCCCCCCCCCCCCCCGCGTTTTCTCATCTCTATTAAGGACTGTTAGGATACGGGGGAACATCCCCAAGCTTGGGCTTGTGGGGTTAAGGGGCACTAGGTTTTTGAGGATTTAGGGGGTTAGGGAGGGCTCAGCCTCAAGTCGAGTGTAACTTCACTTTGACATGAAGCCCCAGAAAGCCTGCGAACCCCCTTGCCCTAAACCCTAAACCCTAAACCTCCTGAAGCACCCTAAGCCCCAAACCCTAAACCCCCGAGCTGAAAGTTGTGGGAATCTTGATCTTTCATCGTTCCGGGGATCCATTCTAGGTAGGGTTTAGGGTTTAGGGTCTAGGGTCTAGGGTTTAGGGTTTAGGGTTTAGGGTTTAGGGTTTAGGGTTTAGGGTTTAGGGTTTAGGGTTAGGGCCCTTCGGATATTTCGTACGGACCCTTATGATTGGACATATGAGAGGGTCTCCTGGAGGAATCTTCAGCAAGAGACTTTGAGGGGCCGACCTAGCATGCGGTGACATGTTGCCGGCTTGTGGATTCTTTGTCACGTTTCTATTTTCGGGCCTCTACTATAGGCTCTAAACCTTCTAAAGCACGAAGCCCTCAACAACACTCAAACCTCCACCGACATAACAGGCCTCGGCTATGCGGATTCCCGTCACGCGTTTTCATCGCTGGATCACTCTGCGTTGGAGCCACGGAGTTGTGCTGGTGATCCCAACTTGAGAACCGTGATATGGGGATAATTCGAAGTCATGGGCCCGTCTTGGTACCCTAAACCAGCTAGTTATAACAGCAGGCCGGGCCCCAACATCTCGATCCCCCGCAGAAAAAGTCCAGCAGTCTGAGAGTACCGATCCGATTGCCGTACCGTCATGGAAACTCTATGAAACTCTACTGCCAATCCGAAGGTTTCAAAGGCACAAAAAGAGGACCCAGAAGACCCCAAAAGACCCCAAAAGGTCCCAAAAGCCCTAGTAGCACCATAAACAGTGGGACTCGCTAGGTGAGTGCCTCAACCTAAATCGCCTTTTTGAGGGCAAAGTCAAAGTAGGTGGGCACCCTGAGCTGACGGACGATGTGGACTAGAGCGCCTGGCACCCAAGCCTCTCAACCCCAAGAATCCCCAAACCCTCAAACCCCCGAAAGCCTCTGCTTCTAAACCCTGAAGCCCCCACAGCCCTGCTCTTGGATGGCAATATCTGTGGGGGTCCCTCTTACTGAGGCGAGGTGCGCTTCTCTTGGAGGTGCCGCAATGTGGAATGATTGCCCCGGCACAGGGGTCGGGCTGCTTAGGGTTTAGGGTTGAGGGTTGAGGGTTTAGGGTTCAGGGTTTAGGGTTTAGGGTTTAGGGCTTGGAGGGTTTTCTGATCCTGGTCTGCATAGGGGGCTTTAGGGCTTTGGTAGGCTCAGGGGGCCTCAGAACCGAAGAGTGTGTAAGAGTTGTTGGTCGTTCAAGTCGGGCGAACGAGGTTCAGGGTTTGTTGGCCTGGGCTTGTAGAGTCCAGAAGCTCCTCCACAAATTAGGGTTTAGGGTTTAGGGTTTAGGGTTTAGGGTTTAGGGTTTAGGGTTTAGGGTTTAGGGTTTAGGCCACAATTTCTTACGCAACAGAGACATGGCTTGAGCAGATTCGGTTCACCTTGAAGTTTCATGGGCATTGGGGTATTCGGCGTTGTACTCGAACGTCTCTCCGTGGACACCCGAACAAAGTTATGCTTAAGAAAGGACTGCACGAATCTTCATGTGCTGAGCAGACGCAGGCACTTAACCCTGAAACCCGAACCCTATAAACCAAAAACCCAAAGCCTATAAGCCCTGTAACCCCCGCAACTTTAGCTCTACCGTGTTCTGAGGCCGCGTGGAAGAACCAGTTCGGGATTTTTAGTCGCATGGTGTCGCAGTTCCCGAGAGCGTGTGATGTCAGGAGCTGACGCGCAAACCGACATCCAGGAGACACAGGCGAGACCTTACCCTTGGTAGCCCAGTGGTACCCTTAACCTTTTCTTCATTCAAGGTTCCTGTATAAAGGAACCAACCCCCAAAAAGGGTGCCCTTATTGTACTAAGGTTACTGGGCTACCAACCAAGTTTCTCAACTCTACCGTAGTGCGGGCTGGTTTGCACCCGGGTTATTTCACTTCTCCATATCTGGTCCTGCACTTGGCAGGTATCTGGTTGCATCTCCTTTAAAGGCCGTTTCTATGGGTGTTGTTCCCATACGGATCCGGCGCAGTGGCCACTGGACCCATGTGCTGACACTGCGGTTTTTAAGGTCTTGCCATGCGCCAGGGGTCCCTTTTATCCAGCACTTTAAGGTTCAGGGTTTAGGGTTTAGGGTGCAGAATGCTGTACTGCTGGCCTTGGTATTCTGAGAATTGCCCCATACCTGCATCGAGGGAATCCCATCTCGGACCCCCTCAAAAGCGAGTTCCGCACCATGCCATTGGCATCGGAGAGGCTGTCGTCAGCCGCAGCTGGAACCTCGAATCCACTGAGGCCACTCCGAATCTCTTAGTAGTAGAGTAGGTAACCTTTCGCCTTTTTCAGATAGTATGATCCCCATGTAATCCCAAAGGTTTACCTTTTAGCTCCCCTACTGGACACCTGAGATCTACATCTCGCACGCGCCCTTGAGTTGACACATATGGGGGGATTCCCAGCGTGTGCCAGGGAACCTTTTTTTTTTTGGTGGGGGTTCCTACAGCATAGGTTACATGTACAAATTTTTAGGGGGTAGACTCTGAGGGGGTTCCCATTTTTTTTTGCAAAAAGGGGCTTGCCCTATTTGGGAAAGTGGCCTTGCAGGAGTGTCTGCAGCGTGTTGCGCCGAATCTCGAAAGTATTGTTCATGCTGCTTAGGGTTTAGGGTTTAGGGTCTAGGGTTTAGGGTTTAGGGTTTAGCAGTCTTCCGCAAATGTGGGGACGGCCATCCTCCGCTTTCTGCGAGGGCTGCACGTGTGGCCGTTTTGGCGTAGCACTGCCGACCTTATAAGCACTATAAGCCCTACAAATTCCGATATACCCTACATAAACCCTATATACTGTAAACCCTATAAACCCTAAACCCTATGATTAAACCCTATAAACCCTATAAACCCTATATAAACCGTATAAACCCCCCAAAAGGGATTTTGCGATGGGGATGGCAGGTCTTAGGTGTGCTGTGGGGGTTTACGACATGAGGGGCACCTTAGTGGGGTCCCTATGATAAGGGAGTCATACTATTTGGGGGGGGGGGGGGGCTCTTAGAGGGGGTCCCTCATTCTCGTAGACTCCCATATCCAGTGAGCTCCCCAAACTCTCTGGTCCAGGCTCCAGAGTCTCAGCAACCCTGATTTCTTCCCTCCTGACCCCATAAGCCGTAAGCACCAAAACCCAAACGCTGAAAGCCCAAACCCTAGCTAAACCCTCAAAACCTACACCCTAAACCCAACCCCATGCAAGCCCTAAACCTCACTTCTTCTGCCATAGCCCCCAACCCCCCCCCCCCCCCACCCCTCAAAGTTGCAAAAGGCGGAGTCCCTCCGTGGACAGCGTCTCATCCGCGGACACCTCCAGCCCAATAGGCCCCTCTATATTGTTCTTGGGTTTAGGGGGTTTAGGGGGTTTAGGGGGTTTAGGGGGTTTAGGGGGTTTAGGGGGTTTAGGGGGTTTAGGGGGTTTAGGGGGTTTAGGGGGTTTGGGGGTTTAGGGGGTTTAGGGGGTTTAGGGGGTTTAGGGGTTTAGGGGGGGGGTTTAGGGGGTTTAGGGGGTTTAGGGGGTTTAGGGGGTTTAGGGGGTTTAGGGGGTTTAGGGGGTTTAGGGTTTAGGGTCATATTGCCGTTGGAGTTTTGGGGTCTGGGGTTTTGGGTCTAAAGGGCTTAGGGTTTAATGGTCTTCTTCTGCTACAGCTACAGGCCCCCATGTGTATGTATGTATATATATGTATATATATTTGGTTAATTATATTCCCCTTCGATTCAGGCTTTTGGGTCTGCGAGTCTGGGTGTAAGGGTTACGGTAGGCTCGGGGTTTTCGGTGTTCATTCGGGCTTTGCGTAAGCTTCCCACATTGAACGGGAAGCGTGCCTGAGTTCTTGGACTGGGCTACTCTGGGCTAATGGTTTGAGGGTTTTACGATGCTTGGCAGGGTTTCGTCGGGCTTGGGGTTCTATTTGGGGGGACTGGGCTCCAAAACTGGAGGGTTTAGGGTGTGGGTTTAGGGTTTAGGGTTTAGGGGCAGAAGATCGTGGAAGAAGCCGCGCCAGCGAGGCCGCAATGGCAACTCGATAGCAAGTCTGAGCATGTGGCTCACAAGAATGTCTACAGTCTGCCACTGTCTGGGCTGGTTTTTCCAAGTCATGGTACCTTGTGGGGTGTATTCAAGGCTTCGCATTACTGTATACTGTGACCCCCGAGAAGGGAGCACAGTTTAGAACAACAGCCTGGGCGACAGAGCTGAGGTTGCTGGATTGGAAACGAGGCATAGGGTGTAGGGTTTAGGGTTTAGGGTTTAGGGTGTAGGCATGTATTGCTTATACCGGCTCCTTGGGAAACCATTGCATGAAAGCTCCCCTGCAAATTGATCAGCCTGAGTCCGAAATCCAGGAGCTAGAAAACCTTGCGGCTTGAGGTTGAGAGATGTAAGAGTTCCCTCAATCCCCAAAACTTGAGAAGGTCAGAGCTTAGGGTTCAGAGTTTAGCTGGGTCAACTTTTTAGAGTTTAAACCCTAAACCCTAAACCCTAAACCCTAAACCCTAAACCCTAAACCCTAAACCCTAAACCCTAAACCCTAAACCCTAAACCCTAAACCCTAAACCCTAAACCCAAACCCTTTAGGCTTCAAAGCCTGAAAGCGCCGCCCCTCAGTGATTTTGTCTGCTGGACATCAGGCCTGGGCATTGACGCGGCGCGTTTGCGCGAGGTGGCGCCGGTTCGTGTGTAGCCTCGACTGCTCCACTGCACCTATAGTGAGTTGGAGGTCAGGGCTTTTGGGGTTTAGGGGTTTAGGGTTTAGGGGTTTAGGGTCTAGGGGTTGAGGGTTGAGGGTATATAGGGTTTAGTCGAGGGCTTGGCATAAATTTCTGCAGCTTGGGTTACGAGTTCGTCCAGCTGGGCCATCGGTTTCAACGTGACATCAACAAGGAGCTGGATTATCAATTCAGCCTGTTTTCAGCCATCAGCGTCACGTGATGTTTCTATTCTTGGGCTACTCATGGTCCGACAACACTTGGCATCCTACCCTGTTCATGCACGGTGCACTTTTGCTCAAAGCCCCCGAAGGACCCTAAGCCCTGCACTCCAGACTGGGAACTTTAGGGATGACATGTGTAAAGTAGGCGCACCGACTGAGCCTCAGAATAGGGCCACTGTATTCAACTGACTCCGGCCTAAGGACTCCGGCCGATCGAACAGTTTTGGCTCTAGCTTCATGATGAGCAGCAAAGGAAACGACATGGCACATGACATACTGAGCGCCTTGTCACCAGCTGTCAAATTCACTCACCAGAAAGTCGCGTTTCGCGTGATAGACTTGAAGCTTGGGGTGTTCCCCTTACACTAGCAGTCCTTATAATAGGGATTATTATGCCGAGGTCGTGTAATCCCTATTCAGGACTGTTATAGTATACGGGGGAACATCCCAACTTGAAGCTCTTGTATCTGTAAGTGCTAGGGTCTCATGCGAAAAGGGCCACTCCTGCTAGCCTGTAGACCCTGAAAATACTCCATTCCTGACTACAGGAACGGGCACCCTGATTTTTTTGTTGATACCTATACGAGAATTACCTTCTGTAGCATGGCAACTGGCCAGCCGCAGCCGCGGGCGAAGAGATCTGAGACGCCGGTTCCCGCGCCCTGGACTTGTAGCAAAACTTGTGATGGTGTCTATATTAGGATATTAGGACCCAGAGTAGGCCCTTGTTCCAGTTTTTTCAGGCTTTAGGTTCCCTTATGAGCCCCTTGGAACAAAAAGGGTACCCTCTTTATTCCTAGGTTATTCTCGGGCCCAGCAATATGCGATACTCCCGGTAGTTGGCAGTGACGGGGGCTGGCAGCACTCAGCCTGCAATCCCGTTTCAAGCGAAGGATGCCAAGCAAAACGAGGATGATACTGCAGAGCCGACAGCTCCAGCCGAGGCCACATGCATGAGTACCCCCCAAAGGTTGAGGCAACCTCGTTTCTTCGGGGTCTGAATGCGGAGGTCACGAGTGCCACGAGCATGCTGCCATATGGCAAAGTATACTGAATGCAAGGTCGTTTGAGAGTGCCAGAATCGTAACGCAATGTACCTCGACGTGCGACCAACGTTGGCTGGCAGTCCAGCCTAGATGCCGAGCAGAGATGCTGCCCGCATCTGTGCGGTGTGATTGCTGAAGGAACTCGAGTCTACGGGTTAGCTGTCTCGCGCCACTGCTCAACAAACCCTAAACCCTAAACCCTAAACCATCAGAACTACAACTACATTGCAGGAGACAGCGGTGAGAAGCAAAGGCAAGAAGGAGAAGAAGAAGCCAGCGGGCAAGGCTGGACAACACCAATGTCACTGAAATGTCCGCCGCCTCCAGCTGGGCAAATTGTTGGGGATTCAGTGGCAGAGACACTGACATGCACGGATGCCTGCTATAGGACGGTCTACTCAAAGAAGGCAGCTGTACAATCTGCCACTCTGCTTTAGGGAAAGATGACCTGATATGCATCTTCCTCACTGCCACTCACAGCAACATAGCACAAACAACTCAGCAGGCTACGCTACACCCTAAAGGCCCCAGCGCACCCTCAAAAAGACTCAGCTATGAGGGTTTAGGGTTTAGGGTTTAGGGTTTAGGGTTTAGGGTTTAGGGTTTAGGGTCCTTGTTTCTAGGGCCTGCTGGGCGGGGCCGCAGAGATCGTGCCGCTGCTAATCCTGGGCCTCTCGGCATATCCGGATTTCTGCAGTCCGACTTCAGGATGTCGAGTTCAGGGCTTAATTCCCGAAACTGCTGCCTCTATTTGGGTAATGTCCTTTGCTTACGTCTGCGGGAACACAGAAGCACTATGAGTCCTCACCCCGAGATGCGTGACACTCTCGAGATTTAGGAGCTGAGTCAGCTGACTGAGAGTCAAGTCTTGATGTATTGCATCATGCCCAGAGAAGAACCCCCGCGCAAGGTAGCAACGTAGCAGCCTTTGTGCACCTTGTTTCCGTGGATCCCGGGGCTCTGAGGCTACTTCTCCTATGCTGGAGGCTGAGAGAAGTCTCGTGGAACTCGGAAGCCCCGGCTCGGTTCAACTCGAAGCCCCGAAGCCCCTATGCAACTTGGGGCTGAGGTCTCCAAGAACCTCTACAGCATGCTCTACCCCACCTTTCCGGACCTGTGCCTTCTTGCAACAGTAGGGAAGGGAAGCTTGGGGGGTTTAGGGTTTAGGGTTCAGGGTTTAGGGACATAGGCACAGGCTCTGGCTAATCACAGAGATCATTGATTCTAGAGAACGCTGATTCTCGAAGCTCACAGCCTTGCTCTGTTCCGGTTAGAAGAGCAAAGCACCTAGGGTTTAGGGTTCCGGGTTTAGGGTTTAGGGTTTGGGTTTTGGGTTTAGAGCTCTCGAAAAGCAGGACTTCGATGCAAATCACAACTACGTGCAGAAGTACCAGAACAGGACACAGAGCGGGGCTTTGTCTGCCCGGGTGTTAAGCCCTATAAACCCTATAAACCCTATAAACCCTGTAAACACTATAAGCCCTATAAGCCCTATAAACCCTATAACCCCTATAAACCCTATAAACCCTAGAAACCCTATAAACCCTATAACCCCATATAACCCCTATAAACCCTATAAACCCTATAAACCATAAACGCAAATCCAGCCACAGGCTCTTGGGCCCATGTGTGCAAGGATAGAGCGGGGGGAGTTCCTGACCCTGAACATCTTCATCAAGGAGAGCAAGACGCTTGGGTTTAGGGTTTAGGGTTTAGGGTTTAGGGTTTAGGGTTTAGGGTTTAATTGTACCAAGGGTAGGTTTGCTTTGGGATCAGCGGTCGAAATCTTAGTTGCGCAAGTGGAGGCATTGCCACCATGCACCCAAAGAGAAAGAGCGCCCAGGGTGATCTTCCTGAAGCTTCACGCATCAAGGCATGATGGGTTTAGGGTTTAGGGTTTAGGGTTTAGGGTTGAATTGTTTATTGTTGGCCCGTATGAGGTCTCGGCCGACCGTGCCACGAGACGCCACTCCCGACTGGACTGTGCGCTTTCCCTACGACGATGAGGAGGGACAGGGAAGGGTATTACTTGGCAGTGGTAACCTTTGCCCTTTTTTGGTTCAAGGTTCCTTTACAAAGTAGCCAATCCAAAAAGGGTGCGCTTATTGGAATATTATGATTGGGTTTCTCGGCTACTAACATTACGGAACGCAAGCTCTCGCCACCAGATCTGCATGCATCTGACCTTTGTCTCCTAGTACTGTGCTCTTGCAGGCGATACTGCTGCAATAAGCAACCTGCGGTTTTCAGTTCACGCATCCATGATAGGTTCTCTCAACCCTAAACCCATGACTAATCCCTAACCCTAAACCCTAAACCCTAAACCCTAAACCCTAAACCCTAAACCCTAAACCCTAAACCCTAAACCCTGCAAGCTGTGACTTGGATGAGGAGTTCCAGCCGTCGTCGACCTCGGTTCCCATCAATGTGACGGATAAGCTGCTGACAAAGAAGAGGACTCCTCCTGAGTATTGTGCTGTTTGGGTTTAGGGTTTGGGGTTTAGGGTTTAGGGTTTAGGGTTTAGGGTTCAGCATCTCAAGTCCAAGCATTTCACTAGTAGAGCTCCTTACTCCGGTGTCGAATATCAACCCACCCACCCATTGGATCCATAACATTATGAAAATATTTTACTTTTTGTTTTAACCTTAAAATTGTGGGTTCAGTAGGCTGCCGCCCAGGGTGGGCCCTAAACCCTAAAGCCAGTACCGAATAGGCCCTAAACCCTAAAGCCAGCCCAGAGTACGTAGGCCCTAAACCCTAAAGCCAGCCCTAAACCCTAAAGCCAGCCCAGAGTAGGCCCCAAACCCTAAAGCCAGCCCCGAGTAGGCCCTAAACCCTGAAGCCAAGCCCAGAGTAGGCCCTAAACCCTAAAGCCAGCCCCGAGTAGGCCCTAAACCCTAAAGCCAAGCCCAGAGTAGGCCCTAAACCCTAAAGCCAGCCCAGAGTCGGCCCTAAACCCTAAAGCCAGCCCAGAGTAGGCCCTCAACCCTCAAGCCAGCCCAGAGTAGGCCAGTACGGAGCAGGCCCTAAACCCTAAAGCCAGCCCAGAGTAGGCCCTAAACCCTAAAGCCCCCTTGACCATCGGTGCTTGTCCGGGAATTTTTGGTGCTTGTCCGGGAATTTTTGGTGCTTGTCCGGAAATTGTTGGTGCTTGTCCGGGAATTGTTTGTGCTTGTACCGGAATTGTTGGTGGTTGTCCGGGAATTTTTGGCTCTTGTCCGGGAATTTTTGGTGCTTGTCCGGAAATGTTTGGTGCTTTGTCCGGTAATTGTTGGTGCTTTGTCCGGGAATTTTTGGTGCTTGTCCGGGAATTTCTGGCGCTTGTCCGGGAATTTTTGGTGCTTGGCCGTGAATTCTTGATTGTCCGGGAAGTGTTAGTGCTTGTCCGAAAATTGTTAGTGCTTGTCCGGGAATTGTTGGTGCTTGTCCGGGAATGTTTGGTGCTTGTCCGGGAATTTTTGGTGCTTGTCCGGGAAATTTTGGTGGAAAACCGCGAATCCATTAGCTTTTAAATATACATAGGTTCGAGAGTGTTTAGGGTTTGAGCCACCCTAAATCCCAAACCCTAAACCCCCAGAACCCCAAACCCTAAACCCGCAAAAGGCCACTGCACTTGAAGAAAAAAACCCTAAACCCTCTAAACCCCAAACCCTGGAAACCATGCATGAACCCTATAAACCCTA